TCCACTGGTCCTCAAGTTGGTTCAAGAGGTCTTGAAGGAACTCAGTGGATCCTTCAAGGAGTTCCAATGGTACTTGGAGGTCAAGTAGGGGTCTTTGAAGGGGTCCAGGGTTTATAGAATAGGTTTTTACAGGTTCTAGGGGTCTTTGAATGGATTTAAGTGATTACTGAAGGGGTTCCAGTTTCTTTGTTCCATAGATAAGGGGTTCTAGTGGCCCTGCATGGCCTCTAGTGGCCCTTTTAGTTGATCATGGAGGAGTCCCAAAAATCGTTGAGGGAGTTCCAGTGACCCACAAAAGTGGTCACTGACAGGTTTCAAGGATACTATTAGGGGGCAGTCCTAGAGTTCCATGGATCCTTGAAGGGATTCCAGTGGTCTTTTAATGTGTTCAAGGGGTCTTGAAGGAGTTACAAAGATCGTTGAAGGAGTTCATTTGACCCCCCAAATGGTTTCATTGGTCCATAAAGCAGTCCCAGGGGTCCTTAAATATGTTCTACTGGCCTTTGAAGGGCTTTGACTGACATTTGAAAGAGTTTAAGGGGTTTCGAAGGAGTCCTATGGATCCTTGAAGGCGTTTCTGTGGTCCTTGAAGGGATTCCCAGAATAATAAGGAACAATTTAACAGACACAGGTCTTGCCAAGAGTGTTACACTGAGAGGTCTGATGTTACTTAAACATGATTTAGTTTTGTTATATAATAATATGCACTGGGGGAACGAGCGTAATGTTATTCATCTCCTCACACACGACTGTTGGATGTTTAATTTCCTGTCACATGATACTGAGGTGTAACAGCAAAGAACATTTATTGGATAAAGTTTGGCTGAACGAAATATAACTGTCCCACTCTGTTTAATTAAATTATGTGCATTTCTGAACAATAAAGCAGTCTGCATTTTGTAATAAGTTTGTTTTCATGCACCACAGGGAGCTGAGTAATAAAACATTAAGATTTGAGGCTATTTGGAAATATTTACAATACATTTTATTTCCTTTTCAGATGAAATGAATCTGAAACAGTAAAAAGAAGTGTCTCAAAGTGTACACCATAATTACTTAAACAGAGATTCCAGTTGTTTTCTGTGGTAGGATAGGAAGGAATGAGCTACAATTTATTTCATAATTGAGATTCTTTACCTTGGAAACATGATTTTAAAATGTTTATTGTGAGTCATGCATGTATAATGAGTCAGACTTAACATTAAACAGATATATGTTGGATGGATGTGTGTCCTCTGCCTGCCTGCATGCCTCTCCTCGGCTCCAGTGTCAATTGGACAGCTCATCATTCCTGTTTATGATGTGAAGTCCGCTGGAGGCCATTCAAACGCTCTGCTCTGCTTTTCCTGGAAACTGAGAGAGAGAGAGAGAGAGTGTGTGTGTGTGTGTGTGTGTGTGTGTGTGTGTGAAATATCAATCTAATTCCTCTAAAGTTGAATCATTTAGCAATAATGTTTTGATTTATGCATGTGCGTGTTTGAGTTGGAAAAAGAGAGCGTGAAAAAGACAAAAGAGAGAACAACAAAGTCAGAGTTGGCATATATTAAGATGCAGCTGCCAGGCCTGTAGAGCATGTGTGAGTGTGTTTGTATATGTGTGTTTGTCTGTTAGATGACTCAGACCTCCTACCATCCATCCAAACAGTCCAGTGAAGTCTTCAGGTCAGAACCTCTCTGCAACATTTAGTTCCCCCACTGCATCATGTTTGTGGTTTCAGATATTGACTGCAAGTAGTAGTATCACTGAAAGCGGATTTTGGTCAAAATCAAGATAAACAATGACGAATGTGACGTTTCCAGATCAGACAGCCAAATCAGGACAAATCTACAAGCTGAAACAGATCAACAGAAGAACCAGAAACAGTTCTTTTAGGTCTTCTTCCTGTGCATAACTGTCCACATGGTTTCAAAATCTTAATTTTTGGAAGATCAAGAACCCAACCTCACCTGTAGTGTTTGTAGTCCATCTGACCTCCTCAGGTCTGACTGTCTGTGGAGAATGTGGCTTGGACCTTACAGGACTTGAAAAAATGCGAGGTAGTCTGATAACAAGATTACACTGCAGCAGCTTTTGTTGAGAAAAATCACACAGAAATGACGTTCCAAAGAATAAAAGAATATTGAATTTGAAGTGTGGAGTTTACTTCCAGTTAATGGAAGGTCACAACAGATGGTGTGTGTCCACTATCAGCAACTGGCTCATGTAAACTCATGTAGTTTGTTGTTTTCTACGTCACACCCAGCTGAGGCTGTATCACATCCTCCAACTTCTACTGACAAGCTCACAACCAAACTTTAGGAGAAACAGGCGATCCATGTGAGCAGAGCAACTGAAACCAAGGCTGCTCGCTCCAAAAGAGCCATTAACGGCAATGCACTGTGGTTTTGGATCAAGTTTGTTTTTGGCTGAGCTGAGGGGCCAACCTGAAGTGAACCTCCACCACGTTATTCCTCCAATAGATTTGGTCTTAAAACGATCTATGCGTTATTTGAGAAAATTGTTACAGAACATGAAAAGGTTACAGTCAACTTTATGGGTCTTGTCAGGAGTTCTTGGCTTATAGGGTGGGAAATCAACCATTCCTTTTTAAGGATATGTTGATATGTGGAACCAGTGGGGTGTTTCACAGTTGAATTCAGTCGGATGATGCGAGTCAGTGTTGCTTTTCCAAAAGAATGTTTCAGATTTCACTTGATATATTTTCAGCTGCAGATATTCTGTATTTGAACAACAAAATGAACCGTGGAGTTCATTGTCAAAACTTGTAAATCCAAGAAATCCACCATGTCTGACAGACCCATAAAACTACATGTTTGCCTGAAATAAAAGTTCTCTCTACAAGCACCCTGAAAATGTTAACTTACATTCAAATTTAGGGTAGAAGAACTACTTTAGGTTTCAAACATTTATTTCTGTATGACCGATCAACTTTAGTACAACATGGCAGATTTCAAAAGGATCTCTCACTCAATCAATTTTTCTGATATCAAACTCCACTCTAGCTGCTGGAAACATCTGGACGAGGCGTCGCCGTCTCTACATTTGGCCAGTTACCCTGAGGAATAAATAACTGAGGGTCATTTAGGGGAGTTTCTCTTTAAGGCCTCAGCAGTCCACATAAACTGAGCCTGATCTGGAAATATTTTTGTGGATATTTTAACAGAGCTGACTGTAACAGCTGGAGAAGACCAGATGTTATGTAATGAATTGAAGGCAGTGTTTAGACGTACGCATCCTGGCTACACGGACACCGATACACACTGAAAGAAATAACAATTAATGTTGCCTGTCTGTATTCAGTTTTAGCTGTTGGCCAAACCCCCATGTGTGTTACATCACTATAAAGCCCAGTATGTCCTCTTTACAGGACATTAGTACTCAATTAAACTGCATGCATGATGTTTGAAATAAAGGCCTCAGTGTCATGTCCCCCACAGAGGACACATGTGAATTTCAGCTTCTTATATGACAGATCTCAAGTGTGATTGGTTACCACACCACCATTTTTCATCTCTTTCAGGTCACAGTTCATTTATTTCTCATAGAAAATGAATGAAAAGCTGGCGGCTGCACTTGGCTCACCACGTTCTGGGTTTTATACCCAACAGGACGGGCTTTGAGATCACTGATTGAGACGTGGCCAGAATGCAACATGCCCACAGAGAGCAGTTAAACAATGATTCTGTGCACTGTGATTCATTGTTCCACTGAGGAACATGTAGTCTGGTTGAACCCAAATGAATAATGATGGAAAAACAGTAAACATCTTCCTCCTGACCGGATAAAAGCTATAATGTAAAAGCTAATAATCATATTAAAAAACTGAGAGAATGTAGAAACAGCAAAATAGTTTCAAAATCGAAACAGCAAAATAAATTAAAGTGTCCGTTTTGACACCAATGTGGAAAAAGAAGAAATAACTTCAGAAATAAACTTTTCAGGTACAGAGAGTAATTTTAAACTGGCCTGCTCTGTCTTTCTATCCAGAGACATGCACTGAGCACTATGAGCTCACATAAATGTCTTAATCACTCTCTGCCTCGATAATGTTCAGCTTACACAACTCCTCGAGGTGTGGGACGCGATTGCAGCATGTTTTGGTGCTGTGGGACTGACGTTCTGCAGCCATCGTCCAGCTATCGTGACCTAATGACCAACAACCGCCTTGATTTGGAGAGAGTCCATCGATGAGGAACAGCATAAAGAATGGAGGCTCCCCCTGGCCATAAATCAAGACAAACACGCCTGAAATTAGGAAATAAGTGCAAAGATTTACAGTATTTAGAAACAGTGACACCTAGTGCACAAACACAGATCTGCTCCCCACTGAAGGATTTCAACCCACAGGATGGCAGCAGAGTCTCACTTCTATGGACTACAGTATCACATAAACCCCAAAGACCTGCAGAAACTCCTGAAGAAACACAGCTTCAGTGATGAGTTGTCAGTTTCAGTGGTGTTTGAGGGACAGGGGCAAAAAATGAAAAAGGGCACCAGTGCATAGAAAGTTGTGATGAATTTATGGTTAAACAGCTTCAGAGTTACAAAAAGGACCCAAGAGTGGTCACTTTACCACCTTTCATCCACTGGAAGGGCACCCTAAAGGCACTGGAAACGAAGCAGCTGCAACCCCTAAAAAAAATGCATGGCCACCCCAGTTTGATGACACATTAATTCAGATTAATTTTGAAAATATAATTTAATAAACTGTGGCCACATTTCAGAGATAGGCTAATGTTCAATTTAAAAAGAAATGTATTTGGAAATAAAACTATTGAGTTCTAAACCTCTAGATATCTTTATTCAATGCTTTCCTAATGCGCCATAATAACTTAATGTTTTTGAGTTCAAATATCTTCATTTAGGGTTTATCCATGCAAATATCGACATATGATAAGTGTTTGTTTGTTGAGCCGGAGAACAAGCTACCGCCGTAACGAACAACAACTCTCCTTCAGTCCACCTGTGAGCAAACAAGACACCAGAATCCAGTGAAAAACTATTTTCAAATGTCTTTTAATAAACAGAGCACATGGTCTTAGAATCAAGTACACACTAAAAAGGGTCAAAACAGCTTGTCATTTTTCATCAACTCTTTAGAAACAACAACGCAGGCACTTTACCCAGCTTATGTTTAACAGGGAACAACGGAGGTGGGGGAGGGGGTTGTGTGCATGCAATCATGCACACGTGTTTATAAAAGTCAGTAAACAACATATATGTGTAGATTTTTTTTCCTTAAAAGCTTCTCATCCCTGTGAATAATAAAATCCTCCAAACTAAAAGCACATCAGAACAGAAAAAACACCCACAACTGGTTTCCAAAAGGGCTCCCAAGTCCAAAAACAACATTTACAAATCAACAGATCAACAATATGAGTTTGGTTTCACATGTCCCCACATCTTTAAACTAAAAAACATTAACAAAAATACACCAACATCTGATGGATTTACAAAGGAACGGTAATGAATGTACAGTGCACGAGGTGAGGTGAGTAAAGCTGGTGAAAAAATGAAAATCAGTCCACAGCAGTGTGTCCTTTTATTACCGCTGCTTGAAGTCGTCTCACTGTAAGTGCTCAGCTCAGATTCTCTGGTGGTCTGCACAGCCAAAAGTGCTATCAAAGTTTGTGTCACTGCTTTGGTAAATGTCATGTTTTTGCTTCAGTTGGAAGTTTTACAATATTCTTTGGATTTAGAAAAGTTTTTGAATTCATATTGATAATTCAGAAACCCTGACATAAATACAGTGTTTTCACTTACATGTAAAACCAGATACTGTATGTGGAGATGAGGCAAGGCAATGAGTGGAATGATGTTTGAGATGTATTTATACATGGTACAGGTTATAAAAGAATGAATGGCTCCAGATTACAGCTGGAGATATGTTGATGAAGTTTGATTTCTAGCTTACCAACTGAATGCGTCGTAGTGCACGGCCAGGCCAGAAAGTGGCACCATGAAATTCTATGCATGTCCTTGCAAAATGGAAGCTGGGGGGACGTATGAAGTACTTGTGGGGCTAGTTGACATGCTAAGCATCCAAAGTGGGCTGCTTAGCTAGCTGGCTTGCTACCCGGAAGCTACCGTGGATGTCTTATTTAAAACTGGATGCCTGATGCAGAGATGGCGCCTATTCAGTCCAATAAGAATGCTCGCCTAGCACATGCATCCAGAAAGTGTCTGCCTTCCGGGTTTACTTCCGGGGTACGTGGCACACTGAATGTGCACAGTAGTATTTTTCCCGCTGGTCCTGCGTACGAGTTCTTGCTCCGCCCATAGACTTGATGAAGTAACAGATTTTTTAATCGTTTCTCATCTCGTGGAACATTTAGCCAATATAAAATCAATGTTTTTAAAATGTATTATAGACCTTTATAGGCCTTTGAGGTGTCCTGTCAAGAGGTTTATAGACATCTCATTTATAATGGTAGTCTATGGGGAAAATTCTTTTTGGGACAGGTATGTTTTTATTAGTGTAACATCACCTGAAAATAAGGATGGTGTTTTCATTATCTTAGAATGATCCGTGTTTATCTACGGAGGGAGCTGGTCCTCTTCTGAAGAGTCTGAAATGTACCACCATGTTCCTACAGTAGCCCTGGACACACAAATCAGCACTGGCTCTTGATAGAGCCTTTTGCTTTTTTGGAAGTTTCACAGCCACCGTAGCAGGCGAGTAGTATTCAGTTGGTTGCAATCTGAAACCTCACTGCTAGACGTCACTGAATCCTACACACTTCTTATTTTCTAAATACTGACATTTTAGAGATTTATGGACTTTATCCGCAGTAAATGGTGGTCAATAAGATGAAAACAATGTGCAGACATCCCTACAAATGCAACTTCAGTAAATCTGGACTTTGGAGCTTCAAAGCGCTAACAAGCGCTTTGACAGGATGACCTTTTCAACCGGAGATGAGAGAGAGGAGACCGTAAAAGTTCTCCATTGGAAATTCAGGATTAAAGAGTTTATAATATGAAGCGGGATTGTCTTAAACAATAAACTGAGAAGCTGGATTAGTCAGTCTCTCAGGAGAGTGAGACACAAACAACTGACACTCTCAGTTTTAAACATCTGATCTGCTGCTGTAGAAAAACCACGACTGCAAACTTTGGTTTGTTTCTTACATGAATCATGAAACCTGCCCATCGCTGTGCAATGAGCAGGGTTCGTGGTTCTTGTGCTACTAAAACATGTCAAAACTTCACTGTACGTACTAACATCTGTTTTCCTTTGCATGAAAACATGGTTTCTGTTTGCCAACAGCTTTACTTTGTAAATAATATCCGGGAAGACAAAAGTGAAGGAGAAAACAGTAGAGGAAGAAGGTCCTACTCCACATGTGCACACACATATAATAAATGGTCCCAGGACGTTCTGTAGAAGGATCATTTGGCCGGTCAGGTAGTTTTCTAAGCACACAGAGCACATGGAGTTCGTACAGAAGACTTTATGTGTGTGTGTATCCTTTAAAGATTGTCAATCATCATCCTCACGTTCATCATCGTCAAATCAGGGTGATCTGCAGGTCAGATTTCTCAGTGGTGCGACTGTTCAGCTCCTCCCCGCTGCCAACAAATCCCAGCCGGGCCATTTCGCTGCGCCGTTTCCACAGCGACTCCTCCTCCTCCTCCGTTACTTTGAAGTCTGCACTGTCTCCTGCAGCGACAGGCGGGAGCGCGCTGACGGGAGGGGCATCATCACGGACTGGACACCACTCAGCCTCCACGGAAGCAGGCCCAGGAAGTTGTCCTGGTGGTGGGTGTCCAGTGTGAGGCTTAGGGCCCGCTGAGGCGGAGCTGGAGGAAGATTGTGGAGGGTGTAGTTCCGGGTCAAGGTGGTAGTAGAAGGTGGAGGAGGCTGTTGGGGAGGGAGTGGAGTGGTCACTGCATTCCTGAAGAGAGGGAAGGAAGCGGGAGAGGAAGTGAGAGGCAGAAGAGAAAGACGGTTGTGAATGATGGATGGATGAACGGGTGCATGGACGACTGGGATGACTCGGTGGATGGATGATGGATGGATAAAGAGTGCAGTGTGAGGAGAGGAGAAAATACAAGGTCTTTTAATGTCACCTTGTTTACCAGTAAACTCTGAATTTAAAGTTTGATGTTTTGGGAAATACCCTCACTCACTTTCAGGAATAGCAATAGATGAGAAGGCTGAAGAGACAAGTTCTGTTTTCCGGTGATCAAGGAAACATTTACATGCAAATAATTAACATGCATATCAGATATTATGTGTTAAAATGAACTTCGGCAAACATTTTTCATTAGAAGGGAAATTAAGATAGAAGCCAGATCACAGCGACAGCATGGCACAAGTATACGCTACATGTGCACCAGGAGCTGCTCTGTTTCACATTATATTGTCAATGCAGAGTCATTGTAGGAATCTTCCATCACCTCTGATAACTTAGCAGGTAGATAAAACTTAAAAATATCACACGGGGATCCTTGTGATCACAGGGGCTAACACATAGGTGCTAGCGTAGCATTACAGTTTTAAAAGCAAGAAACGCGTTTCGGCTGTGGTTCCAGGAAATACATCCACACTTCAGCCAGTGCTCACAATGAAAAGGGATTAACACGGTCAACTGTAAGCTGCTGCTACTAGTTTCTGTGAGGGGAAGTTTCTTAAAAAATTGCTCTTTGTGAGATGTTGTTGACTTCTCTCCTATGAGCTTTTATGTCCACAGGCTTGTACCTTTGACTTTTTATAAAAGAACCAGATATATGATAACATGATGATTCAACCGGGAGAATTTACTTTCTAACCCTAACCCTAACTACTGCAGAACCAGACTTTTACATCGCCCAAAACAACTGCTCCCTGTTCAGAAACAGCTGAAGATCATAAATATACTATGGACCATTGAACTAGCATCAAAAGTACAAGTTGTTTTTGTTTGCCCATTATTCCAGTTACAACATTTTACCTGCCAGCTTATTTTAGAGAGAGATATGGAGTCACACAATATCCATCCAGACGAAATGCTGTGAATTGTGACTCGAACACAAGGGTTCATGCAGTTACAAGCAACACGTACGAGCGAGTGATGCTGCAGTTGCCAAGGAGCGGGGCAGGATCAAACAGCAGTTGCTAAGGAAGCGGAGAGGCAGTGGGGCTTGGTGATTGGACGATGAGCAGCGGTGGGAGGGGCAGGAAGTAGGCAGCAGGGCTCATTTGGGGAAGGTTAGTACGTCACTGTCACACCTCACTCTCTGAAAAGTGGACACACGCACGCACACACACACACACGCGCACACACACGCACAAACACGCAGAAAGACAGAAAAGACAACATGACAAAGGGTTAGCGGGAAAAAAAAGAAAAAGCTCATGATGAATTTGGTCCTGCTGGGAGTCAGGAACGCTGCAAATGTTATTAAGATGTATAGAGAGAATAATGACACACAACATGAATAAAACAAGGAGGAAGAGACTGAGGACAGACATAAAAAGTTCAGAGATAATTGGTCATGTTAAGAGAATGAAAGGGAACGACTGGTACGTGGATGGAGGGATGGGCTCTGCTCACATGTCATTGTGGGTAAAGTATCAAAAATGAAAAAGAAAATATATATACATGAGAAGCTGGGATATCAGTGGACCAGTGTGTTAATCTAAGTCAAGATCCATAAGAAGGGACGAGTTATGATGGAGGATGAGGATCATCAGTGTTGAGCAAGCACATCTGCCTGCATAAGGACAGACACACGGACTCAGGCCACTCAGGTATATTTCATGCAGCACTCATATATCCAAAAGGATGTTTGTTTTATAGTTAACAGATTTAGGACTCACTTTCCACCTGCATCAAACTGCATTATATATAACCTCAACCCCTCAAACAGCAAGACACTCCTGTATTACAATGCTTTTGGGTTTGGAGATTGGACGAATTTAGCCGCTATTGGTGAATAGCTGAGTCCATCGGCGGTTGTTTAGGGTTTGCCTAGTATGAGTGAGAGCTGCTGCTCAGCAAAGACAGTTTGGAGTTTTATTTAGTTTTTCTGCTGAGTTTGGATGAAGTATGTTTTACAATGAGTTAACAAGGCAGTTAGCTTGTTAAAAGAGAGAAACTTGAATTCAGAAAGTGTTCGGTTGTATCATTGATCATTTTAGCTCGTTTTTGAATGTCTTTAACTTAACTCTCTTACACATTGCACCTTTAAGATCTATGTAATACTAAATTGTACTGAACACTGTGCATACATTGTACCACAAGGTGCACAGACAGAAGCCTGCAGCTTTCGTAAGTGACAGATGGAGACACAAAGCTTACTGTTAGGTAAAGATCCACAGTGATGCTTGTGAGAATCAACATTTTCTTGAGATACAGAAAAAAAAAGGCATGTTGTGAACTGGTACAATACACACGTGTTAATGCAGGTGGAAAGGAAACAGAGCCCCAAACATTCAGGTTTTGCCCATTTTGAGGAACAAACACTGAATTGTATTTGAGATGAATATCAAATACAATTCACCCAAATCTACAAACTATCTGCCTACTGCTACTACAGATCTTGTCTTAAAGGGTTGGACCACTGCTTGAAGCAGCAGACGGCGAGACTACTCAAACCATACAGCTAGCAGTAGCTACAGGATGGATGAACACTAGAGGGTTCACTCTGGCTTCTGTATTGGTAGATAAAAAGAGTCCGAACCAGAGAACTCCTGTAGTGTGCAGAGGTAAATGCTCGGTAAGGAGAGGCTGGTGGCTGGGGGTGAATGGAGGGGTTTGGGGAAAGGGCATGGGGTCACATACGTGCTGCATTCACCACTGCAGAATGGCGTATACCTCTGTATACAAGGGCTGGACAGCCTTCTGGCCTGCCGGACCTGAAAACAACAGTTTACAGCACAGCTCAGTTACAGTGATGTGAAGAGCTCCCTTCCACAGTACCACACATCCGTCCACAGAGGCCCTGACCGGAGTCATAACGTCCCATGAGATCAACATTTCTATGCAAATATTCAGCAGTAACTGAAGCTTTGCTTGTGTTTGTACATGTTATATTGCCCAGATTATTCCTTTTTCAATGCAGCAGACAGAACATTCCTGTTGTCTCCTAAATGTTTACTGGAAACGCTGTTTAATAGGTTGTTTCCACATTATACACTGGCCAGAGAGACGCTCTGCTGATTGGCTGCATTATTTTCACATACCAAGATGACTAATGTAATGGTCTTGTCTACATTATTTGTTTCTTTCTTCCTCTGGTGGTTAAGTGTGTGATCTTGGAAGGAAACTCTTCAAACAGGGAGAAGAGACAGAGAGAGTAAGAACGGAAAAAGATATGGAAAAATAACATTAGCTGTGTGTGTATGTGTGTGTGTGTGTGTGTGTGTGTGTGTGTGTGTGTGTGTGTGTGTGTGTGTGTGTGTGTGTGTGTGTGTGTGTGTGTGGGAGAATTAACAGACATATTGAAACAGACAGTTTGTGCACAATAAAACACTTTTCAGGGCATGAAAAAAACCATTTCAACCATCATTATCATCTTCATCAAGTTGTGAAACTCCTAAAGAAAGAAAAAAAAAGATAAAACATACCTGAATCTGTAGAATATGTGAGGTAACATATTACAATATATTGACATAACAGACAGATATATTATCTACTGACCGACACAATCACCTAATGACTGATTTATATTTACTGTACTCCTAAATATAGGATACAACTGAGGTGATATTGAAGTTGAGCGTCTAAGTTCTAGTGTTTTTCTCAGAATAAATGAAAATAATCTCATTAAAATGTTAGTGTTAATGTCTCCTGCAGTAACTCTTCCTGCCACAAGATGGAGCCCCTTCACCAAAATCAGCAGGGTATCAGGGGCTTGGCTGACCAACTGGTGGAGAGATTTCAAATCTAATCATAAAGCAAAATGCCTCATTTATCTTAACAGTAAGTGTATTTGTGTTACTATTTGCTCTTTTTGTTTGTTTGTGTGCATATGTTCTGCTAAATAATGTAAAATGGTTTATAAATCGCTTAATTCACGGTCAATGCCATTTAGAGTGTCTGTAAAACACAAAACAAAATCAGATTTTTTTGTCTGTCTTATTTTAAGTATTTTAGTATAAACTTGCTTTGAAAGCTGTGGGTGTTTAGAGGTTGATTTCCTCTTTAACAACAGGATACCTACAGTGTTGGCTGAGCGCCCGGGGCCGCGCTGAGCCACGATCGCCCCTGAGATGGCCTTAATCCAGCTGTGCATGTCCTCTGGACTGTCAGCCTGAGAGAGCGAGAGAGAGAGCGAGAGAGAGACATTACATTAATGTATATTTTTGCTTTTGTTTATTGATTTTTCAATGGTACATCTGAAGGATGTGAAAGAAGTCATTTGTGAGTATATAAACTAGTATTACTACAGTACTCATAATACGGTGACTCTGTTAAGGTAAGATAAAACCTTTAGAAAAAACCTGCCAGACAGATAAAAAAAGAAGTGAAAGTAAAAGACTAACAGCCATAATAACAGCTCTGTGAGGCTGTACTGAGACACAGTGCTTAGAGCATAATGTGGACACCATACATCGGTGTCTACAGGACGACCTGCCCTTGTAGCGTAGTGGCCATGTGGACAGTGAATGCGTTAGGGCTGCACCATATGGTAAAAACAAATCATATCGTGATTATTTTGAAAGATAATACAATTGATGATCCCCGATTAGTGGGAATGATCATTTTTGCATCATTGAAAAACCTAGTAAAAGTTTGTTGGGATCTGTATCAAACAAACATGTTTTCCTACATCTGGAGAACAAGATTTGTAGACTGGGACATCTCTGCAGCTCTACAGTATTTCATTATAATGCTGTTCGTCACACATTTTACATTTATCAAAATACTGCAGCTTCTGTGAACTTTAGACACAACCGTGTGTGTTACCTGTATGTAGAAGGTTCTGGAGGTGGTGACCATTTCGAACAGGTTGTCCCTCATCATCAGCTCGCTGCAGAATACAGAGCAGAGACCGACGCAGCAGCCATGTTTAATCACCTGTGATGTGATGTGAATTGACCCTACTGCCTGGACAGCAGCACATATTCACCTGCTAACAAGAAAGCTCACTGACCTCTGTTTGCACTCCTGGACCTTGTGAATCTCCTTCAACGGGATGACTCTCAGCGCCTCCCTCTCCTACAAGGAAGAGGAGAGGAATCAATAACACACACACTACACAACAGCTAAAAGGCAAAACCACAGGTATGGTGCTTTTTAAATCCGCGTGACTCATCTCATCTTTGTCTGTACTATGTTTCTACCATGTTTCATGGTTTGATTTAGATTTTTATCTTGTCAAGAACAGGAAACCTCCTGTCAAATACTTTGAACCTGTGTCACCAAAAATACCCAAAGAAAGTCTGCAGATGATTCCGAGTGAAGTCAGCTGTGTTCACATCCAGACTTAAAGCTAGGTGTAGGATAGCAGACTCATTCCATACAGGGTTATAACTCCTGAACTTCACCAAAACCCTTCGAGGCACATTGCCCACATTCTCTCCCAGTACATATCATCCAACCCAACCCGGCAGCTGTAACAGAGACACTGACAGCGTACTTGTTATTAACGTTCCTAGCCTGGTAACTCACATTCTCACCAACCCACAGCCTCGGTAAGTGGGGCAGCACTGGCATTCCTCTGCTGGTTACTGACAATTATAGGCTATTCAAATAACTTTTATACGTGTGGTTTACTGCGTTTAATGTTCCTGTCTCATTTTAGACGTGTTTTACAGGACATGTGATTCTTACAGTACAGCTCTGTCGTATCATCTGCAGCTGTTTTAGCTGGAATTAGGTTTTGCCTGGCAGTGGTGTATCCACATGTTTCTGACCAATGTGGGGCACAAACCTATGCATGGCTGGCAAGAACTAGGTGTGTGCACACACTAGTTATATATTTCTCATATATAATTTAATAACTAACCTTACAGTTTTTCACATCCCTGTGTTTAAGATACATAAACCTACCAATCACAATCTAACAGTGGCACCATATTGTAATTAAAAGCTTCCATTTTTTATTCTCCCTAAGCCCCCAATAGTCGGCTAAATACAAAATAAAATCACAATATAAAGTACCAACATAATTAAAATAGATAAACCTGTGTGGATAAAATATTGTATTGACAAATGTACAATACAAATCCCTTACAGACAATGTGCGAGCCCAACCATCAAACTGTTTAATTTCTTGTGTCGGTCCGTAAACACTTGTCCGGTGTAATCGTCCCACAGTTGGTTCAAACTAAGGTCCTTCCTCTGATAGTCACAGTTTAAGATAACAAGATGGCACCTACGATGGCCAATCAGCTGAATTTCTTGTTGCTCTGTTTCAGATAGCATGTCACTGCTAACCAGCCAGTAAGCACACTGCTTGTTAAAACTGTGTTAGCAGGAAAGGATATGTGGCGACACTGCCAGCAGAGTGCCAGAACGTAAACCGACAGCATTGTTGAATTATCCTAGAGACTTCTGTGTTTCTACGTTCAGGATAAAATGGAGATGTTTTAAATGGGGAGAAATACCTTTGAAACTAGCAGCACCTCAATCTGTTTCTCTCTCTCTTTATCTCTGTTCTCTCTCTCTCCTCTCTCTGTTCTCTCTCTCTCTCTCTCTCTCTCTGTTCTCTCTCTCTTTATCTGTCTCCTCCTAAATTAACATTACAGTTTGATCTCTGAACAACTTGGGAGGTTTTTGATTCAAGAAGTGACGCATTTTCAACAGTTGCACTCATCATCATCACTTCACACATACATAACTGTTTAATACCTACAATGGAAAATCTAAAGGAATGAACACACAGTCAGTATGCACACACACACACACACACACACACACACACACACATGGGTGTGTCCGTTTACGTGCACAGACAGGCTGTGGATAGGACTCGCTAATCCGTCCACACGTGGATCATGTGAGGAGGTATTCGGGACACATGCCGCTGCGTGTAGAGACACACAACTAACTGAGGGCAAAACACGCCTCGCTGCACACACACACACACACACACACACACACACACACACACACACACACACACATTGCTTTCTGTCTTTCAATTTTCAGATGCATTTTCCTTTCAGTTTACCTAATTGCTATGGGAGGTACACATTCATACAGAGTTACTGTTGTATTAAGTTCTAGTGAAATGTGTGTGTGTGTGTGTGTGTGTGTGTGTGTGTGTGTGTGTGTGTGTGTGTTCATGATTAGGTATAATGTAAGCCAACAGTTGGTATAGTTACAGGCACTTCAGTAAGTAGGGTGTTTTTTAAAAAACTCAAAACACATTTTCTCACCAGGTCCGATTTGTAGTAGCTGAGGGCGTTTTCATCCAGCATGAAGTACCTCCTCTTCCAATTCTTCATCTGAGGAAGAGGAGCAGAGCTATCTATCAACCTCAGTGTAAAACTGACAAAACCACATTAGCTGTTCACAGAGCTGATTTAATATTACAATGTAAAGTTTGTTGTGAGGATGGCACTAGAGGAAAGGTCACAGGGTCATTATATTCAAAAGGGTTCTTCCTCTTAGGAACAGGAACGTACTCAGGACATTGCATGAAAAACAGGTTATTAGACTTTCTTATTTCTTGAGTACAAGTTGACAATTCAGTCTAATGATGGGGCGAGGGGAAAGGACGAGTTATCACCACTAACATTAGGAGTCATCCTCTGGAGAGCATTAATATCCACAGCAATGCTCATGGGAATCTGGCCAATAGGTATCAAGACACTATCTTGTTGTCTAGCTGTCAGTGGTCCAAGGTGGGGAGTGATACTGTTTGAAATATAATCAGAACCTATAACCAGAACTTTAGTTGTATAAGTGGCCACTGTGTGTGTGTGTGTGTGTGTGTGTGTGTGTGTGTGTGTGTGTGTGTGTGTGTGTGTATGTATGTGCTCTCACCACAGCTCCCTGTTTGACACAGTATCCGGCCTTAATGATGGCCTGGTCCTGCGCTCCTCTGGACAGGAAGTAGGGCAGTTGATTCTGACCCTGCTTCACCCCCCGGCGCTCCGCCCCGTTCTGCCCCTCCCCCTGCTCCTAAAACACACACGTACACACAAATATTTTACAAGGTGAACAACATTTGCATCTATTTGGACCTGATGAATCCAATATTCACTCTGTTCAGCTCTATCTGTTTTCCAGATATCTGGCTCTTTCACTGATAAACGCTTCAGCAGCTGGTTGCTGACTGAGTCTCTGTGCTGTTTGGTGCTGGGCAGGTAGTGTAAAGTGTGTTTAACTGAGTCTTCTCACAGAGAACATCTGGCTGCTGCAGCCAGAAGAGACGCTGATGTAAGCAGTGAGACCAAAAAACAAAAAGTTAAGTTGCAGTCTTCTAGTCATAAAATTCAAACCAGCCATCACTCGTCTGTGATGTGATGCGTGCTGGGTCACGTGTTTGTGGCTGCATACCATCGCAGACAGGACCTGACGTGCCGAACTGCTGCCGCTGACAGCTGCTATCACAACGCATACGACAGACTGTGTGTGTGTGTGTGTGTTACCTGTGTAGCGGTGATGATAGGGACTCCTCCTATGATCTCGGTCTTGTAGGAGACCTGTTTCATGGCTCCAAGTACTTCCTGGGGAGTCTCTGCATGGGCGGCGTGGCCCTCGCCTGGCTTTGGCACCTAAAGACACAACATGAGATTATCAACAGTCCTGTGTTTCAAGCAAATGGATACAGTCCCCCTCCACTCGTTTTCTTCCTGTTCCTACAGCTGGGTGTTGGACTGGGTTGGTCCCTGCAGACTACTTGTTTCTGGAGGGGATCTTTAAGGTTTAAGCCAGTTGATCTTTTTTTTTTTTTATCTCTTTAGGGATCTTGAATCTTGTCTTTCATCTCCAATTAGCACCCAGATCAGAAGTTTTTACTTTTGTGTTTTTAAAAGCTTTTGGACAACAATGGAGCTTTAAAGAAGATATGTTAGGCTTTGGATATATGGCAATGACACCAACCACACTGTTGCACTGGGTGACATGTTCTGTCATTACCACGAACATACACAGCCCCACTGCCCGAAATAGCCCATTAGAGCAGTGGTTCCCAACTGTCCACCCCTGACTCAGCGACACATTTTATGTGTATTTTATATTATATTCAAAACTGTACAATGAACCCAAACAGTGAACTCAGTAACTGCAGGAAGTTTGCGGAGGAATTTTGAGCTGATTATTTCCTGTTTAGGGAACTTTTTATACAATTCTCTGTCTGTATTCTGGATTCTTTCAAATAATTTTTAACAAATTGACAAATTCAGTGTTTTGTTGTCCCTGATGCTGGGCCGTTGTTCTATTAGACAGTTTAATTTACTTACGTTCATTTTTCTTCACAGAAGTGAACCAAATGCTGAGATATAGGCCTACTGTGTATATTTTCATTTAGTGTTACACGCTTTAAAATCAAGAAGGCCTTGTGACCCCCATGAAGCTCTGGCAACCCCAAGTGTGGTCCTGACCCCCATGTTGGGAATCACTGCACTGGAGCACCAAATGTGAATTAATCCGCATTTGAAAATAGTCCCAAACAAATGCACTATTTCCATCTGGCTAAAAACATCAGGGGCCAGCTGTTTCAGGAAATGACTGAGCCTTAGAAGAAATAAAAAAACCTTTGTGAGAATGGTAAACTACTCAATGATACATGTGTTTCTCTTGTCATCCAGACTGAAGTTATCAGTTATCTGCAGATGGATACGATAGCCTGGCTTTCCATTCAGACTCTGTTAAGCCTGAACTGAACTACGGTATATCTCTCTGGCCTGATGGGTAATTTTCCATCTGCTGCAGCCTGAGGCAGAAGACAGAGCGGCCTACAACAACAGGAGAAACAGGGTCACCTATTGATCCATCAGTGTGTGCGTGTGTGTGAGGCTCACAGTAATCTTGGTGGCGTTGTTGAGAACACTGATCCATTCCACCAAATCCTGCTGGTCGTTGGCCTGCAGATAAAACTTCCTCATTCCTGCATTTATAACTGCAGAAACAGAAAGACGGAGGGAAAGGGAAACGTGTCTGTTGTTACCTTCTTACTTTGAAACATTCCAAAAACACAAGAGGAAGAAGAAAAGTGCACTGAGCTCCATGCAAATCACGATCTAAAAATATCAGTTTGTTTCTGGTTTCTGAGAGGCGGAGGATGTGTGTGTGTCTGTGTGTGTGTGTGTGTGTGTGTGTGTATGTTAACATGCCATGTATGTATGTTAACATCCCATCCAGATGCAAATACACACACACACGCACACACATACACATACAGAGGTCAGGTCAGGGATATTGTACAGTTTCCTCCTATTGAGCGACAAAAAGCTACTGTTGGCCACCAGAGGAACAACAACAAGCAGCAAGGGACAAAAGAGAGGAAATAAACGGGAGAGGAAAAGAGGGAGGTAGAGAGGGGGGAAAAGGACAAGGAAGGGCAGGAGGGGAGAAACAAGGAAGGAAGGAAACAAGGAAGGAGTGGGAACGAAATGAGATTGGACAGGAAGAAATGAAAGAGAAAAGCTGTCCACTGCATGGCCAAAAGTGTGTGGACAGCTGAAGATTGAACCCATATGTGGCATTAATCTGCTGCTATACCAGCCTCCTTTCTTCTGGTTTCAGGCTTTACACCAGATGTTTGAACCCGGCTGCAGAGATTTCAAAAGCATTAGTGAGGTCCAACATAGTCGGCATTCCAGTTCATCTCTAAGGTGTTGGACCTGTGCAGACCAGTCCAGTTCTTCCAAACCTAACTGGGAAAACCTTTTTTATGGACCTGGCTCTGTGCACGGGGGCATTGTCATGTTGTAACAGGAAAGGGACAAACTGTTGCCACAAAGCTGGAAGCTCACTATTGTCTCATTGTATATTGTAGCCTAACATTCACCTTCACTGGAACTGGGGGACTTATATAAGACCACCAACAGTAGCAGGGAGGGAAGGAGAAAAAGAGGAAAAAAAGGAAGAACTAGAAGTCCAGTCCTCGATACGCAAATGTGCATAGCGTTCACTGCCGTAAAGACAGGTTTGAGCAGGTCAGAAATCAAGGGGAAAAAAATAATTGGTGTATCCGCTCTGTGATTCGCATCCACTCCGAAATTTAATGGGTTCTTCCTTTTCCCATGCTACACCCTTCCACCAAGTGTCATGAAAATCGGGCCAGTAATTTTCCCATAATCTTCCTCACAGACAAACAAACAGCACCGAAAACATAACCTTGTTGGCAGAGGGAAAGATAGTGAGGAGAAAATGAAGAGGAACTTACCAAAGCAGAACTCTGCCTTTGGTCTGAGCTTTGTGGCATCACTGACCTGAAAGAGAGAGAGAGAGAGAGAGAGAGAGAGAGAGAGAGAGAGAGAGAGAGAGAGAGAGAGAGAGAGAGAGAAAATGCAGTTTGAACATCTGAATGAAAACCTAAAAATCTGATGTGGTCAGAAAGCAGGGGACACCTTACTGCATCCATCCAAACCTGCTAACATCAGTATGCTGATGACATCCTAACGTGCTGATGGTAAGCGTGTGTAATCTTTACCATGATCTCCATCTTAGTGTGACATCTTAGCCTGCTAACATTTGCTAATAGGCACTGAACACACAGTACACCTGAAGCTGTTGGGAATTACCTTTGCAGATATTTAGTCGTAGACCAAAGGAATGGACACACTGAAGTTGTGTGTGTGAGAGGACTAACCTTGGAGATGTAGGTGAGTTTGAGAGATCCCACATTCTCTGCACCTTTAGGCAGATTCTGAACAAAGAAACACAAATATAAAAGCATTAGTTTCATTATAGAGTTTCATTGTAGAAGTAGGAGCAGTAGTAAAAGTATTGTTATTGACTTGTTCCCCTAAAAAGCCTGTAGACATTTGCCCAATCGGAAGATATTATTAATACCAGCAGCAAATATTAGTTATCATCAGTCAAACTGGCTGAAACTGCCCCAAAAACCTGCATCAGCCCGACCCGTTTCTGCCTGAAGCTGCATGGTTTGATGAACTCCCCAGCTGTGGGAAATATAAATACTACTAGTACTAACCTTTTTCAATTTCTGTTCTGGTTCCTGTTTGTCTGCTTGGTTTGACACAGACAGTCTCTGTCAAACCGCTCAGATGTGTTTGATGAGAGCTATCCAAAGTGTCACTCTCATGTCAAAGGCTTCAACTAACCGCAGCTAAAATCTGTTCAGTCCCCTAAACCAGCAACTTCCTCTTTTATCTCCAACTCTTAAAAGCTCTCCTACCTTTGTTGAGGCTTTTTATAGGTTATATTGTTAGTACCTGACCTTCTTCTGGTTACAAATCTTCTTCCTTACTACTGTATTTTGGTGTATTCTTGTTACTGTACAGTGCATTGAGACGACGCACTGTACAGGTTAGTTTACACAGATGAGGAGCGTTAAGTTGATCTAAGTTCACTTTAAAAATCAACTTGCAGAGACTTGCTTAATAGTTATACGCAATGCATCAAAGCATTTCGTTAACTTCAACTTCTGAGATAAGGCAATAATAATGATAGATAGTGTGCAATGCTTTTCTTTTTGTCAACATCAGAGAGCCTCACTGTTGCACTGGGTGTCATTTTCCTTCATCACCACAAACACACACACTTACACACATACACCCCCCTGTTGCCCCAAATTCTGACTAAAGCATTAAATGTGGACTAATGCGCGGCTGTAAATAGTCCCTAACAAATCAGTAGTCAGATTTCGAGAGTGGCTGTGAAAGCACCATCGAGGGGACTTTTAAAAGCTGTCCCTGCATTAGCAAGGACTACTCGGCTTTAATGAAACTAAATAAATAAAGACAACTCACTGTGATGGATTATCTCTTTGCAGCACATTTCAAGTGCCTGTAAGTTGGTTTTCACAGAGAATTGAAACGTACTGTATTCACAGGGTGTATTCAGTCATTATTCATAACAATTCAGACAATTTTCAGTTTAATAACACACTTATTTTTGAACTTAAACGCCTCAGAAGCATTAAAGTGCTGTGTAAACGTCTGTCAGTCAGCAGAACCTGATTTCCCCACACGGGTCCTGATGATGCAGGATGAGATTCACCAAAACTGTTCTGAACAAAATGAACCAAACAACACCTGTGGAAACACCCTTCATAAAAGCTTCCAGGAAGGAAGGACATCAATCTATTATAGTAAACATGTCTTCAGATCTTCAAAATAAAGCACCACATATACACACAGTAATTATAGACGTAGTATGCGCAGATGGTTAGGATGTTTCAGTGCTGACTATTCACAGAGGAATTTCTACAGATGTCAAGAGACATGGGAGTAGTCCCCAACCATGTGTACATACATAAGCACAGACACACACACACACACACACACACACACACACACACACACACACACACACACACTCAGCCTCACCTGTGGGTTGTCCATGTACCACAGCAGGCTGCCCTGCTGAGTGTCCAGGATGAAGTATCGGCGCAGGAACCTGCCGCTGCTCTCATTCTCCTCGATGTCCAGGAAGCCGCAGATGCGATTCTGTCGGTCCACGTAAGGCATCGCAACCCCGACCAGCTCAGCCCGCCCTGGGGCATCACAGGAACGCTGCCAGGAGGAGGGACAGGTCAACTTTTAGCGTTGCCTCAGGTTAAAGAAGATATGCTTAGAACTTTAGAAGCTGTTGTAGTAAAGGTAAAGGGAGATATCGGCTGTGAAGGTTTCTGCCTTTAGTTTTGGATTTGAATGACCCAGTTAGTGAAGATAACCTTTAACCCTTGTTGTGAACAGTTTCATGTAGGAACTATTTTCTACTGAACTACACCTGCCAACCATAGCTGCACGTTATCTTGGTGGCGGTAGGTGAGCTAGCTAATGTTACAGCTCTATGGCTGATTCCTCCAAAGTTTGGCAACTCACACCGAAACAATCTAGATGGATAACTATACAGTTACCAAACATCTCGGCTTGCCCAAAATATTAAAAATGTACATTTTCCTAGAGTCATAGATAGATGGATGGATGGATGGATGGATGGATGGATGGATAGATAGATAGATAGATAGATAGATAGATAGATAGATAGATAGATAGATAGATAGATAGATAGATAGATAGATAGCTTTTAAGGCTTTAGGTTAATGTTTATATGTCTTAATACGTGTCTGGAGGAGTATCTTTAATACTGAAAGAATTACTTTATGTGAATAAAAAGAGCCCCAGCAATGAAACTGTCTTTAAGGTTTGAACATGAGCGAGGAACTGTCCAGCTGCCTTTGAAAACCTTCAGTTCCCTCTCAGATAAAACATGTTGCTACAAGCAGGTGACCAGCGAAACTGCCTACAAACAGCATTTAAAAACTCAGAGGAGCATTTGAATGCAACCTCTCTCTCTCTCTCTTTTTTTTTTCTTTTTCTTCAACTTTCAGTTTCAGGCTTTTTTGAAATTGCACATTGTTGCAGAAGTGGAACTTCAAAATGCAGGAAAACACCTGAACAGTCATGGGTTCATGGTGTCCAACCGTCTGCAGGAAGTCCCTATCTATGTGTGTGTGTGTGTGTGAGAGTGTGTGTGTGCGTGTGTGTGTGTGTGTGTGTATTGTGACAGAGATGGACATGGGTTGTGTTAGTTAAAGCATGCAGGGATTAACAGGGCAGGTGCTGACTAGATAAAACCCACACACACAGGAAAACACTGGACTTCCCAGTGACAACAAACAGAGAAACCAAAAATCAAAAATGCTGTTTTACTGTGTGTGTGTGTGTGTGTGTGTGTGTGTGTGTGTGTGTGTGTGTGTGTGTGTGTGTGAGAGAGAGAGAGAGAGAGAGAGAGAGAGAGAGAGAGTGTGTGTGTGTGTGTGTGTGTGAGTGTGTGTGACTGTGTCTGTTGTTTGCAGGCTGCAGGCTGCAGGGTGACGTAATGCAAAGTTCAACATCACATCAACACTTGAGACCTGTGGTTTCACACACACACACACACACACACACACACACACACACACACACACACACACACACACACACACAGCCTAAGAGGTTAAAGACTCCATTGTTTGCTGCTGTGATTAACACACACTCGCCCGCGCTGACAGAGTGTCTATTAAACAGCAGGGGAGCACTGCTGGTATCAAACCACAGCTCTTTCTTTGGTATCAACCACAATGTGTCTGCAGCCCCGCACACTGAAAACCTTCCTGTTCACTCAGATTGGTGATCTTGTTTACTTATTAATCAGATATTACTTATTCATTTGGAACCACCAGCTACTTTTTAAATCCATCACTATGTTTGTGTGTAAAGTTCTTACACATAGGTGTGTTTTCATTAGTGTGTATTCACCTGAAGATAAGAACTGTTGTGTTTTAGTTATTAGTCTGATTCTCGGTGTTACAGTGTGAAGCCAGAAATAATGGGAGCCAAATTTCTTTTGTTAATGACCCCTCAAGCAGTAAGAGCTGCAGCTGGGTGCTGTCCTCGCACCTCGATGTGTGTACACTCGTCACACATGACCACAGTGGAGGATCACAGTGGAGGACCACAGTGGAGGAAAGGGAGACGTGGATGCAGCCGCCGCGCTTTAAGACGCCATTGTTGTGACTTCTGCATCTGTTTCCCTCGTTGGCTCGGCTCCCATTGGCCGTTTGCTCCCACACACCACAGCACACATGATGGTTTGATGGCGGACTCAGTAGAAGAGGACCCGCTCAACCAAACACAACAATCCTTATCTTCAGGTGATTACACACTATATATATATACACATTATATTACGTTATTACATATTACCAACAGATCCTCCTCAGTGTCGGAACTTTAAGCAATTAATCATTTAGTGCAGCAGGTCAGTTAATAAAGAAACATTAATAATATTTATCAGATAAATTGGATCATTGATGTGACAGAATAACATTAAACTCACTGAAGTTGGCATGTTCTGACCCGTGAGGTGAAGTGACAAACTAAAGGCGATTTCATCATACCATCTCTCATTGAACACACCCATCTTTACCAAGAAGCGGACTCAGTCACAGTCAGCTGTACGTGAACTCCAGTGTCACCACTTCCGTTATATGATATCCAACTTCCAAAGAAACAGCCAGGGACATTACTGAACATTTACCAACTGCTATTAACAAACAATCATCTTTATTTTCATTCTGAGTGAGACAATGACCGGCTGTCCACCTAGTAGCCTATTGCGGGCCAGATTTGGTCAGCGGACCTTAAGTTGAGTATCATCAGTTTAGTCTATGACATGACAAAAAGAAGTAGAAAACGCCCACCCCAGTTTCAGTCTAAGTTTAGATCTTCAGATGTAGTTTATCCAACCAACAACTTCAAACCAACACAATTTAAAGTACACTCAGTGTGAAGATACACATACATATATATATATATATATATATATATATATATATATGTATGTGTATATATATATGTATGTGTATATATATACTGTAACCCCTCACAGGCTCTATGGGAATATATCAGGACATTCACAGGACATTTACATTAAAGCATAAAACTCACTACTGAGAACCACAGACACACAATAAAGACAATATTATAGCAATATAATATAATATAATATAATAGTGTCTAACGGAGACAAGCTAAGAAAATCCCATTACACTCCACTTCCCTCCATATTAATCATCCCGGTTTATATCATTTAAAGGTGTAATTACACAGCTGTTAGCTTCCATATGAACACATCCATTACATGTGCATACCGAACAGCACCCACTGTGCTCAATGAGCCCATTTAACCAGCCAGCAGAGCACAAACTGTTTGTCACAGGCCTGAAAACATCGACCGATTTCCTCTCCCGCCTCCATTATCCGTCTGCTCGACACACTCACACTTTCAGTTTCAGATTTTTTGGGAGGATTTCTGGCTGCGAACGACACAGTGTGCCGGTGAGGCGACACACGGCCGGTAAAAGCGGCGGATTGTGGGTTTACTTACACAGTTCGGCTCAGTCCGAGTCCAGTGTGGCAGCTGTCAGCCACCAGCGGCAAGTTACACGCAAGGGAGTCACACCGCTTCCGGTTCCAGCTCTAAAAATAAAAGCGTTCGACGCCAACGGCGTTACTTCCATGTGGACTTCAAAGTAAAATACTTTTTATCGCCCAAGGGCTGTGAATACGTCAACAACATGTCTAGATTTGTTTTAAAGGGAGAATGATACTACTCACACCAGCAGCTTAGTCAAGTCAAGTCAAGTGAGTTTATTTATATAGCACATTAAAAACTACAGGAGCTGAGACAGATGGGTTATAATCCGCCTCAGGTTAGTAAAATTGGTTGGACAGATAACTTTAGCCTGGCTCTGTCAAATGGTAAGAAATAATCTGGCACATAATTATCTGTGTAACCCCAGATGTCAGTTGTGATAGGTAGATTGAACTAGATGTGGCCCAGTGGTCATTTGTGGTGTTACAGTGAAAATGTATTTTTCCCATAAACCACCACTGAGCTACAAAACAGGTGGATTAAGACTCTTTCTGTGATACATTTTTGATCCATTGACGATTTATATAAAACCTTCCTCGAGTCAGGGATAGGTGAGAGAAAACTAGTGTGCATGTACAGTGGGACACTAACCAGAAAGTAAACCCTGGGGTTAGCGTACATGTGCCAGGTGAGCAGTTCGCCATCTTGGCGTCTGGTATCTATTATATCGATGATTTAGCTCATGGGCAGATGCGATAGTGGCATCAATCTTGTCTTCTAACTCACCGCCAGAAAAGCAAATAAATGTATTTCCCAGATTTCTTTGAAGAGCCAAAAAATTTAACTCTCAGGATATTTGAATCATAAAAAAGGAAATGATTTAGGAATTATACAACAAGAATCAGTGGTTGCTAACTCGTTTGGTGTGTGACCACTTAAAATAATCAGTTACATACTGTTTGGCCGTATGTTATGATCCAGTGGATTTTTCTATATACTTGTAATTCATTATTTATTTCATGATATATTTATGCTTTTATTTTGAAGGCAGAATACAATTTCCTGTGTTGATAATCTTAAACTGAAAACTTGATGCAGATTTCCGACCAATCCAAGGCCAGAGTTCAACTTTTTGGTTTTTTTCCCTCACTTTCTTGTCTTTGCAAAGGATGATGGTAAATGTAGTCACAACAACAACAGAGTGCTCGAACAATTCTTCCTTCCACTAGAAAGTCAGCAGGCAGAGGTCAGTTAAAGTACAGCGAGTCGGGATTCTGAGCCACTTAACTGGTGGGATATTCACAATATTGTATTTCTAAGGCCAATGATGATTCTTCTGTTACTATAAATCTGCATATGGTGACATTTCTTATTGTAAGAAACACACACACACACACACACACACACACACACACACACACACACACACACCGCTGATTGAACCTGAAACAACCTGAAACCTCAAAGAAGGAAACAGCATCTGGTAAAGCATTTCATACACAACTAGGGGACTTCCCACAGGCCTTTTGTGTGTGTGAGTGTGTGTGTGAGTGTGTGTGTGTGTGTGTGTGTGTGTAGTGTTGTTGTTTCTGACTGGGTGAGCCTGAATTAATTTCAGTATGTGCATAGTGGCTGTGTTCACACTCATTAGGTATCTTTTTCCTTCCTTCCTTCATCAGCATGAATAGGAAAGTCTTATCTTATCAGTCGTATTTTTCATTTCACATTTTGGTGTAATGTGTTACAAACCCTGTTCTGAAATTCTGGAAGATAAATACCATGTGAGTTCTCACTACTCTGCAAAATGAAAAAGATTTTTAACTCTCTTCTCAAGTTCATGAATGTAAAATAAAATGTACGCCATGGTCCTGTCTCCAATCAGACAAAAGGCTGTCGATTAGACAAGCCTGAAGTTTTCACATTAATGTCATTTATCAGCCTTATTCTTCCTTGTTAAGGCTTCATATTCAACCTCATACACGCACACACAAATAAAAAGCCCATCTTTAACTCCAGCACACCCATACACACACCTTATTGTCTGCCTGCAAGTCTTATAATGTAATGTTTGCCTTACATGTGTCCTGTAACACTAATAAAGAAATAAAGAAGTCAAAGGTCACTCACCGAGAATTTAATAGGACAACGAGAGGGCAGGGTGAGGGGACAGGAGGTGAGAAGAGGCAATAAAACAGAAATCTCCAGAGGGAGACTAGAAAAAGAGGGAAAGCAGAAGACAAGGGGAGAAGATGAAAGACTTAAATAATGTGTAAGTTCTGACATCTAGTGGTGACAGACAAAAATCACAGTACAGGAAATCCTGAAACTGTTTTTCTCCAGATGCACTTGTGTTCTAAAGAAATGCAATGATCAAAATCTCTCTCCAGAGACACTCACATGTAAAGGGAGAAGCCAGGTCGGTGACATGGTGTTTATAAAAAAGAACAATGGAAGCAAAGAGTGGGAAATGTAGGAATGTGTATGGAGGGAGAACAGATGTCCAGCAGACTGTGCGGAGGTTCAGGAGAGATTCCAGGAATATCAAAGGTCTCTCTGTCGTAATGAAAGTGAAGGTTTTTTTCTTCTTTGAATGAATAAATACTCTCCAGTTCTGATATAAGTGATGCTAGCAGCATCTAGGCTCACACATTGATGGATTCAGGCTTGAAATGTAATGTGTCCAAAGTAACCAAGCTCATGATTGCATGATTAACCACCATTATCTACAATAGCCTACTATCGATAAAGGCAGAAATATTACTTGAAATACTCAAATTGCTGCTCTTGCCCCTCGTCTATTTGTTCTTGCACTCCTAGATGCAAATAAACAAGGTGTCACTATAGCCAGTGATAGTCACAAGGTTGTATGTACGCAGATGATGTTATTTTTTTCCTGACCCAGCCAAAACAATCGAGGGAGTCTTACTATGGAGACCTCGAAGTCCTGAAAGATCATAATTCTCTGTGTACAAGATGAAGAACTTCAGAACCATCCAGAGATTCATATCTTGTGAGCATAAAATAAAGAAAAATATTATCTTTTGGTACTTTAGGGGCTCCGTAATATACAAACAAATCAAAGCCCCCCCTTCTCCTCTCATCATCATCTCCAAAAGAGTGAGTTGATTGGGGTGGTAAGTCATTTGGCTTCCGTCCTCTCTGTCTTTGCCAGAGTTGATCCTACAGCTGCTATCTGCCGAATGTCAAAGGCCTAATTGTTTTTAAAGACGGCACTGCCAGCACTGATGCCAGCCCCTGTGCCAGTCTATTCTTCAAAACTGTATGATGCCTCAACACTCCAGGTGCCACCTCCAAACTCTGCCAGGTTCTCAACAACCAGCGCCTGCTCAGGGAGCTTTTGCATCCTTGTGAAACACTCAGATCTGTTCTTCATTGTGATAATATTGAACCCCTCATGGTACAGTAACTTCAGTGTATTGGCTGGCTGGACGGCCGATGTTGGCTCAGGGGCCACAGCATGCCACGCAGGGATTTCAGCCAGGCTTAGAGCTCCGCAGTAACAGGTTTTTGAGGTTTGAAGAAGCAAGGCTTGGTGCCAAGATGACCTGACTGCCCTGAAGAAACGGACAGCCATAGCAGGGTGCATGTCAACAAGCACTGGGATCATTTCAGGTCCTGTGGCAAATGGCAAAGACCAGCCATTCAGCTCTGGTGTCCCCATCTCTCCCTGAAAACAAGGAGACACATTTTTTTATTCAAAAACAGTGCAAAGCCTGTTTTGTTTTGATTGTGTTACAAATCTTTCAGAGGACACAGAGATTGTAATAGAGGCCAATTTGAGGATCAATACAATTACTTAATGCCTAACAGAGCTGGCTCAAAATGTATGTTGTGATGTGGTTGTAGATCCATTCATAACTCAGTAGTAACATTCAGCGCAGCAGGTGGTCCAGTTACTTGACTTGAGTTGACTCAGCTTAACTGCCAGATTTTTGTGTTCAACTTGAAATATTTTCAATTCATACAAATCTTAGCATCGTAGCTTCAGGTTGGAACCATTTAGAGCATTTTCGTCCATCACATTTGTTTGAATGCATATCAATTCCAATGAAATTTCTGTTATTATTTCCAGTAAAATGAGGGATGTGCAGCAGGTGTAATTCTATGCTCATGTTTTTTATCTTGCGTAACATCAGTAAAATGTTTGGTGACAACATCTTTAATTTGTTTGCCACAACATCCAATCCATTGCATGATTAAAGTCTGGACTCGATAAGAGACGGTAGTCTTGGTTAAAGTCCCCCTCCACTCAAAGATACGTTTTTATGCCTCGACACCGGCGATAGCTGTGACAACCCCAGGTTCGCAGAGTTCTTGTGATGAATGTCATTAAAGGGATGACAGCTGCTTCTTGTCTCTCATTCTGTTTTATTCTCTATAAGAATTATTTTTTACATAGTAATCAAGTTTATGTTCCTTGGAATTCTACATATGTATCATCAATATAGTGATAACTTCAATTTCGCCAAAAAAATCAGTTTATAGCTTTTTATTTTTTTATTCAAAGTTCACTACATAAATCATAGATGAGACTGGGCAGACATGGATGTAAACTGCAACTTGATGGGTTGGTAAAGTCTTTATAACTGCAGGGCAGTAATTCTAGTTCTTCTTGTTCCTATAATTTATGTTTGAGCTTCACTGTGGCAGAAAGATATATGAGCACAGTTTGTCACTAGAAGGATGTTTTCACATTCATCTGCTGAAAGTTTCTCTGTGATCCCTGAAAGTGTGGTTTTAAGGAGCAGGAACCTACAAGCATCATTTGGAAGGTCAACCTGGTCCAGTATGCAACCTTACACAAGTGTGATGTAGAAACACCAGTGCAAAGACTTGAAGCGGGAAACAACTTGTGTCCAGCAGGAAAACTTCAGAAATGAAAATAATTAGCATATTCATCGATTCTGTAATTTTAATAAATGAGTGCATGACTTTTTAAGGATTTTAATATGGAAACTATACTTTTGTTAGCAGTAAACAAACATTTTAGACACACATTATGGTTCCAAGCAGACTATTAGTACATATGTCTTAATATGTGTCTGGAGGGGATCTTTAAATATTGAAAGAATCAACAATAACTTGAGACATAAGGCACAACCTTGTGTACATAACATTCAACCTAAACCACAGTTTTCCATAACCTTAACTAAAGTGCTTTTGTTGCCTAAACATCACCACAAGCAGGACTCACGACTTTGTTTACCTCAAAACATAACTGGCAAAAGAAGTAGTATATGTGTTAGACATTAGTACGATTCCTAGTGAGTGATGAGAGAAGTGAGCTCCACCTATTGTGTGACTCATGTAAGAAAAACCAGGAAACACAGCTTGTTAAGTTTCCTTACAGACAGTGAACACAGAAACAAGATTCACCTTCACACTAACACCAGACTTCCACTGACTAAGCAGAGCTACAGGAAGGAATGCTAGGAATACTGGAAAATCTGGAATACTGTCACTTACACCAGCAACTGACACCACAAAAGGAATAACTGTTTTAGAAAAGAAAATCCAGGCTTAAAGTGTCTGCCTGCTGTGGTTTCAGCTCCACTCAGAGGAAAATGGCTTCTGGGTCAGAGGAGGACTTCTGCTGCCCTGCCTGCCATGATATCTTTAAAGACCCTGTCCTCCTGTCATGTAGCCACAGCTTCTGTAAAGCCTGTCTGCAGAGCTGGTGGAATGGGAAACAACTCAACGAGTGTCCAGTCTGTCGGGCTGTGTCTCAGTGGAGAGATCCGCCTCGTAACTTGGCGTTAAAGAACCTGTGTGAGGCCTTTTTACGAGAGAGAGGTCAGACAGCCTCATCGGGGTCTGTGGACCTCTGCCGTCTGCACTCTGAGAAACTCAAACTCTTCTGTCTGGACCATCAGCAGCCAGCGTGCGTTGTGTGTCGAGATGCGAAAATACACTCTGACCACAGGTTCAGACCCATCAAGGAAGCTGCGCAGGATCACAGAGACGAGCTCCAGAAATCACTGAAACCCTTAAAGGACAAGCTGAAGGTTTTTAATGACGTGAAAGTGAACTTTAATCAAACAGCAGAACACATGAAGGTCCAGGCCCGACACATAGAGAGGCAGATTAAGGAGCAGTTTAAGAAGCTTCACCAGTTTCTAGAAGAGGAAGAGGAGGTCAGGCTGGCTGCACTGAGGGAGGAAGAGGAGCATAAGAGTCAGATGATGAAGGAGAAGATGGGGGCTCTGAGCAGAGAGATAGCAGCTCTTTCAGACACAGTCAGAGCCACAGAGGAGAAGCTGAGAGCTGACGACGTCTCATTCCTGAACAACTACAAGGCTGCAGTGCAAAGAGTCCGGCAGCGCCCCCTGCTGGAGGATCCAGAGCTGCTCTCTGGGGCTCTGATAGACGAGGCCAAACACCTGGGCAACCTGACCTTCAACATCTGGAGCAAGATGAAGGACGTGGTCTCCTACAGTCCTGTGATTCTGGACCCAAACACTGCCAATGCAGAGCTCATTCTGTCTGAAGATCTGACCAGTGTCAGACACGGAAAGAGACAGCAGCTTCCCGAAAACCCAGAGAGGTTTGAGTACTGGGATTCTGTCCTGGGTTTAGGATTTAACTCAGGGACTCACAGCTGGGAGGTCGAGGTTGGAGACAACAAAGACTGGGAACTGGGGGTGTTAACAGAGTCTGTTTGTAGGCAGGGATTTGTGGGGTCTACAGTATGGAGTGTAGACTTCAGCAGTGTTGGATACAGAGCGTTCTCCCCAACAAACAAATACACCGATGTCGCAGTCAGAGAGAAGCTCCAGAGGATCAGAGTTCATCTGGACTGGGATGAAGGAAAGCTGACATTTTCTGATCCTGACACTAATACACACATACACACCTTCACACACACGTTCACTGAGAAATTGTGCCCATTCCTTTGCACCAGGAATGCCCTCCCACTGAAAATACTGCCTGTAAAGGTCTCTGTAACAGCAGATGGTTAGAAAGCAGTTAGACTTCAAGATGAAAATGATTGTTAGATATCATGCAACTTTTATTTCTAATGTTTTTCAGCTTCTAAGATCACAGTTATGCATCAAGTATGTGAGGATATATATGGTTAATAACAGGAAATGATGTGTTTCCATACTGCAGTATACAAAGTCTCTGCATATTCATCGAACACAGACTAAAGTTTTGCTTTTAGAGTCAAATGAGAGCCATAATGCTTTGTGCCTTGTTGTTTCCTTAGAAACTGGTCAGGGGACATTTTTTACATGTACATGTGCAATGAGGGCGTAGCAGCCACCCACACTGTAAAGTTGAAATCCATTTTTTTTAAGGTAGCTAAATCTTCCATCATTAATGGCCAAACACACCTGTTAGTATAATAGTATAAAACAGTTCAACAGCACCACAAACTAACAGCTTCCAAAGATACTTCTGAAACATTTCATTTTCTGTATGATTTATTTGCTGCTTATGAAATGATTTCTAGTTTGGGTAAAATTGTTGTTATTTAATCTCCCTCCATGTCTTCTTTAGTGCTTCAATTGTATGTACCGTATGTATTTGATCAGTTATTGGCAGTTGATTTGCCTCCGGTGTTCCTGATGTGATTTTTACTGTTTTTATTGTTAGTGGTTGTAGCCCGTGGCTCCAGTATAATAATGTTGTTGTTGCACATTGTAAGAGTAATGCCAGATGAAGTTCGGATTGTTTTTTTTCAATAAACTTTCCACAGTGAAACATTTTTTTTCATGAACTTTGTTGAGTTTAATTAATTAATTAATTTTCCATTTTTTTCTCTCCAGGAGCTGCAGCATTATGTATGACGTATTCACTGGTAGTCAGTTGAAATGTAGCTTTTCACGAGTTTAATGGTTGCACCTGAACGCGGCATTTATAACGATAAGATTGATGAAGCCACTAGTGTGAAGGTAGAAATAATACATATGAGCAATTCCGGTTGTAATGTTTAAAAACTGAAGCAAGGCAAAAAACCACCCCGCCAAAAACATAACAAAACAACTTATTGATGTGAAATTGAATTACACGTACACGAATGGGTCTATATTAAATCAACAATTTGCGAAAGTTATTTTTTTTTATACATAAATAAGTCTATCCCAAGTAGTTTTACCTAAATTGTTATTTCAGTACGGGCACTTTATGCTTTTACTTTGAAGGACAGCTTCCGGCCACACTCTGCTTCCTCCGGTTAGCTTGACGCAGCGGGGGAGTCCAATGGAAGCCTTCGTCGCAACCCGGAGGAAACAATCGAGTCCGATTTAGATTGAAAACAGGAGCCGATCCCGTTAGATGGCGTTATAAAGTGTGTCTGTTCTCAACCGTCCGGGTCTGCGGTACTCTCCGTTGTGGTTCGATCCCGCTGATTTGCCTCTGAGGGCGTCTGTTCGGCCTTGTTTATATACTGTGCAGGGCAGCTGGGAGAGCCAGGGGAAGCAGGCCCGCCGGTCCTGTGCGAGGTTCGGGTCCGGAGAGTGTTTGTGCGGATCGGCCCTTCAGCTCACCAAGTACGTGGACTCACGGATAACAGCCAGTGTTCGTGTACCGGCTAGAAAGCGGCGCCACGCTCGGTTCTTGTGACCCGGTTGTGGCCCAGCACGATGTCGGTTTGTAGTTATTGTTAGCGGTTAGCTTCGAGCTAACTGCTGCAGTGACGGCTCCTGTCTGCTAATGCTAATGCTAACGGCTAACGGCTAAAACGGGAGCTAACGTTAATGGTAACTTCGTCACGTTTGTGCGTAACAGACAATCTGGCCTCGTAATAACACTGATGTAATGGCCCTGTTCGTGTGTGTGTGTGTGTGTGTGTGTGTGTGTGTGTGTGTGTGTGTGGGGGGGTGTGCGTGTAACTTAGCGCCATTAGCATGCTAACGTTGTTTTGTCGGACCAGCTGGCTGAGAAGTGCTCGAGCTGTTAGTCTGCATGCGTTATGATTCAAACAGGTTTTATTATTATTAATTATTAATTATTATTATTATTAAATAATCCCTGCTGATCAGAATATTAAAAGGCCGAGCTCATGTGGGCTGAAAACAATATAAATGTGTGATTGTGTAAGAAGTTAAAGAGAAGAGGACTGACACTGGATACTGACTGTACACTTAAAGGAACTGTATATATATATATATATATATATTGATTAATAATTATTGTGTGTTAAAGGTTAAAGTGTTCTTACAGACTCTTTAATGGTTCTTTCTGTTTCCGTATCCTCTCAGAGAATATGACCCAGATGCAACAATGACATCCAGATTCGGTAAAACCTACAGCCGCAAGGGAGGAGAGGGCACGTCCAAGTTCGACGAGGTTCTGTCCACCAAGAGAGGCACCCTTAGTACCAAATGGGGTGACACCACCTACAAGGCCAAGGTGGGCTCCAAGCGCGCCGGCGCTCCCAAGAACGACTCTGTCCTGGGGGTTTACAAGAGGCCCCGTCCGTCCGGAGACGGCTTGGAGGATCCGTTTGGATTCGACAGCGACGAGGAATCCAAGCCCGTGTCATCTCGCAGCGGCAACAAGTCGTCGCCCGCCAAGCCGGCCTCAGCAGAGCCTCCCCAAGCGGAAAGGCCGGGCATTTCTTTGGATGCGGGGAGCAGGTCCAGCCTCCAGGGGGGATCCCACGCTTTGGCGTCCGCTAGAGGGGCATCATGGCTGGCCAACGACCCGCCCCGAGTGCTGGAGGACACGGCTCGGTTCTTCAACAGCAGCAGTGCTAGCATAGGTAATACACAGAATCTGACACCTTTAAGGCTGGGTAGTTCTGGACTAGGATCCGCCTTTATTCATGATTGATGACGTACTGATTCATGTAATTGTTTAATGTATAAAATGTTACATGAATTATAGATACCCACTGATATAAAAACCCACAGATATTCACTTTAGTTATACAGAAACAGCGTCGTTACGATCTATCGATTGCTGTTTAAAGCTCATAACTCCAGACTTCTTTTAGAAATAATAACTGTTTATGTATTTATGATATCAGAATGAAACATGAATTTTAGTGCTGCCACACTGGGTGATTGTCGAAGGGGCGGAAAAATGGGCAGTTTTTTTACGTTTGTTTTTGAATGTCTTCTGATATAATGGCGACAATAAAACGTCTCATTGAAGCTGTTGACTAAACAGAAGCCGACTCGGAGCGGCTTTAGTCGGGTGTGAAAACATTTAGCCTCTCTGAACTTTTGTATCCATCAAAATGGAAACGCGTCTGGCCAGGATGAGACCTGATCTTCATTCAAAAGGGACTGGAAACAAACTTAGATGCACAGATACGATGGCAATCTGTTGGTATCCTGAGGCTCATGGTAACCGCACACGTTACTTTTGGCGCAAAACAAAAATACCATGCGGGGAATACTCATTGTTAATCTTGCAACTGAGCCCTCAGATGATGAAGGGTATAGATATACGTCACAATACCTCTCCAGTTTTCACTCCAGTTTTTGATCAGATGATTTCACTTTTGACCGAGCGGCGTCGGAGAAATCAGTTTGATTGTTTTCCTCTCACAGCCGGCCGTCGTCGGTGTGTCGTCGCTTTTCAGCTCGACTTGCCCTCGGTTTTCCGTGACCGCTGCTGGCCACCTGCCAGAGACGCGAGCCACTCCAACTGACTCTGAACAACAAGCTGTGCCTCAGTGAGCACTGCGGCTCAGAGTGACGTTTTCCACAGCGTTAGAACACTGAGCCATATTGAAGGGAAGCCAGCGCGACACCGAAGTTCATCTGAAACGCTGCCATCAACAGCCGCGTTATCTGCTTACTAAGGCTGGCTGTTGACTCAGTAAATATGACAAAATCCTTGACCAAATACCTCTTTAGATAAAGTATGACGATATTATAGAGCTGCTACTTTCAGATTGATGTTTACATTCAAGAATATTTTGAGGCATTTTTTTCTTTTAAACTATTTATTATATATTATAGATATTATATTCTAACGGTGTGGGAAGTGACAGCAGCATATAAAGCTCCTATACAGCTCTGTCAGACTTTTATTAAATCCACATAAAAGATAACTAAGAGTACTTTTATTGAGCAAGAAGTTTATTTATTTGTAAGTCATTGTAGACTGACTGAGTTTCAGAAGTTCCTGCATTAATGGCTGATGCTTTGCTCCTCGTACGCCAGCCTCATTGTCGCAGCTGTTTCCTGATACGCAGTGTTGTGATTGAGAGAGAAACACAGAACAAACCGAAGCCAGCAGTGTTAGTTAATGATACGCCGACATGCTTCAGCGGAGCCACGCTGAGTGAAAACAGTTGTTTCCCCTCGATTTCAGTGACATTTCTCAGGTGGACAGTGGCTCGTTTGTCCTGCGGCTGGTTTTAAAAGTGCTTTTTTAAATTTCCCGATGGGTCTGAAGAGAGACTATCCAGCTCCAACAGTCACAGCCTGGCACACTTGGCTAAGAAACCCTCATTAAATGGTCCCCTACTGTATTCAGATCAGTGTTGATGTGATGGAGAGAAATTCAGCCTTAAAGCGAACTGTAGTTTAATCTGGGTTCAGGTTTTTTGTAGTGGGCATTCGACAGTGTTTGTTATTTAAATGATGGATCAAACTATAACGGAAGCATTGAATAGCTGATTGTGATATGATCATCATCACACACACTTGCATATACGAGCTGGGACACACCCTGACATCAGGTCTCATCTTGTTCCCAAAGCCCAGGCACACAAACTGTCATCTTTACAGGTTCCCAAAGTGTCACCCCTCCAGACAAAGGGGAAGAAGGTTTATTTATTGAATTATTTGAATATGTTATGGTTGGATTTTCTAAAAGTTTTAAATCACTTATTTTCTGAGCTTTTTTGCTCAATATCTCGAGCAGTACAGCTAGTTTCCAGACAGACGGGCCTCGATGTTAGCCTGTGTGAGTGTCACCCAGGCCAGCACCTGCTCTGCCATCTGAACAATCTGAAGAAGAACTGAAAGTCTCTTGCTCACTGCACATTTTGCAATAGTGTCAACATTGCACATTATTAAAAGGGAAAAAATCAAGCCCAGGCCATTTGGTTTCTCAAAAACAATAAGAGCTTATCTGATATTCTGCAGTGAGTGTGTGATGTCTGCATGTGCAAATGGAATGAATGAGGTTCTTCCCTTTTGTAACCTCTTTCCTGTGGAGGTTTGTTGTTGTTGTGGGTTCACAGAGGAGTCACATATACTTCATTTGGAAGGTGTACATTTTGTCGTTTGCTCATATTTTCAATGATCTTCCCCGTTGTCTGTGGAGTATATGTAGGATTGGATCCTCAATGTGGAGGCTTATCAGTCCTCGTCTAACTCATCACAAACCCCCCACTACAGCTAGTGTGTCCTTGAGCAAGGCCTGAAAACCTCCTCCACTTGTCGCTGTCCTCTCTGGATATGAGCGTTGTCTAAAAGCCTGACATCCTGTACAAAGACTGATCAGGCTTCACCATGTTAGACTTCCTAAAATCCGAACAGAGCTCATTTTGTAAAAGATCAAAGGGACCCCCAAACCCTGAGACACCTTTTGGTGCCATCCAGACCAAAAAGACTTACAGGTCTTTTATGTCCCGTCCCAGCTAATCACTGTTCTTGAGTAATCAACTTTATGCATTTATCTATAAAAAGTAGTTGGCACAAACGGGGTACATGCCCTCGATCACGGTGGCAACGAGTGGCGACGTGGTCTACGTTCTAGTTTTTGCTTCACTCACGCTCCGGCGCCTTCCAAAGAAGCCAATGCTCTTTTTTACAGAGCAGATACAGATATTCTTTGATGTTGCACTGTGAAGCAATTTCCTGTCTTTTCACAGAGTAACGAGTCCGGTATTGTCACCCGTTTGTTATCTGTGAAGGCAGAAATTGCCACGGGCGCTAATAACCAGAGTGTGCGTAGACCCTTTTTTGATTTTTGTTGAAGAAAAACCCAACTGGCAAATGAGCGTTTGTCGTGAAGCTCGGTAGCTCCTCCAGCTGTGTTTGTGTGTGACCTGTTTTCAGTGTGAAAAGGTGCTTTTTGAAATGGTGCAATCATTTTGTGCACCACAGTGTTGTTTCATTGTTGTACCAAATAGAATTCTGGAGGTTGCACCGTTTAGTGTGAATGCATTTGGCTGGTTCAGAAAACTTGGACTAGAAAACTTTATATGTTGGAAAACTGTGGCCAGATGTTTGCAGCCTTGAAGGAAAAGTCTCAGTAAACACATTGTAAAATTATTAATTACGTTTGCCCCAAATTGAACAGCACCCATGATAATTCTGCTTATAAACTCCCTCTTGATTACTGCATCCTTCTGTTCAGATCAGTTACTGTCAAGTTTAGAGAATACAGCACTGCACCACCACTCATTGTTGACATCAGTGCTGAAACAATCTCTGGTTCCAGCTTCTCAAATGTGATTGTTGACTAGAGATGTTCCGATACTCTTTCCTTCCTGAATCTGATTCCAATACCTGAACTTTGTGTATTGACCGATACAAGTGTGTTAGGGTTTGCTGGGAAGTAGCAGGGTTCTGGTTTGGGTCTAGTACATTATGTCGGTCTAGACTGGTGCACAGACCTACCTACTCGCTGATTCCCGAGGCCCTTCCAATACTAGTATCCGAACAACTTTTATATCATAATCAAAAAATACTATACAAACAAATTGAAAATGAAAATAATGAAAATAAGTTTAAAAATATGATCCTGTGGGTTTGTTTTTTAATCTCTTGAATTTGAAAGAACTTTTATTGTTGTAGTTTTAGTGGTCTGTTAGTTTGGTTGGGTTTTTTTTTCTTTCCCAGATAAATGAGACATTTGCTTTGACTCTCAGGTTAATATATTTTTTAACCTGCCCTAACTATATTTCATACTGATTGTTATACCAACAACTGATGCCACCAGTTTATATTTGATTCTCACCTTCCTCTTCCACAGGGAAGTCCCAGCCGAGTTCCTTGTTGCCAGACAACCAGCACAGCTACTCGTGGTACCAAAACGCTTCTGAAAGCGACAAGAAGCCCCTGGCGCAGACCACCACCCTGAAGACAGGGTCCAAGGCAGAGTCCTCCTACGACTCCTGGGATGCCATCATGGGTCTCCGTCCACCCTCGCCCAGCCAGGAACCTCGCAACCCCGCCCCCACGCTCTCTTGGGCTACGGCGGGCGTCACCATGGGCAGCTGTGACGTAGGGCAGACCCGGCGTGAGAAGGCCCCCTCTCCTCCACGGCTCCAGAGCCCAAGCGAGAGCGAGGACTTTGGGGGTGACTCGGACTTCCTCGTCGAGACGTCAGACTACTCCCAGACATCCTCCTCCTCATCACTTATAAGAAACACTAACTGTCGGACGTACAGGAGGCCTACCAAACACGGCTCTGGCAAAGCCTCGGACTCCAGCAGCTTTGCGAGCGCTGCTTTTGACACAGATCTTCCCAAAACCTCATCTGATGGCAGTAATAAGACGACAGGTGGAGGGGGACGAGGCAGGACGAGGGACTACACAGTGCTGCACCCCTCTTCCATATCGATGTGTAACGTCACCATCCAGGGCAGAGGAGTGGAAGAGTTTAGTAGTGATGCAGCACCGTCTAGTGGTAGCAGTAGTGCCGGGTCTGGCAGTACGACAGAGCTCGGAGAGGCGGGATGGCAGCGGAAGAAGACGGAACAACAAAACACAAGGTAGAACTTCTTCTTGAGCTGTTCTAAAGATCTTGTGATTTGTTTGAAAGTTCAAGTACAGCGACTAAATGGACCTCGTCACTGAGATGTTTCCAACCGTTTAAGGCTGAGATAATTTATTTCTTTCTCTTAATCTATTCCAACTTCAGCTGGAAGTTCTGAAAATACCAAGTATTGATACTTTTGACAATCTTAGTCTGAATATTTTACTCAGTGGAAACATCTTATAGCTTTTATAAACTGCTGGAACAAACTGAGAATATAAAGGTGTATGTTAGTTTCAGATATTGTGGTATGAGAGAATTTAAGCTACTCAAGGGAAACAAATAGTGGGAATCTATCATGGTGTAGTAGATTAAACCAGATTTAGTTCCTCTCTGGGTAAAGCAGTGATCGCACAAGAAATTCAGCGTTCCTTGCTGTCTGATTTCAGAACTTCCCCCCAAATATTGTCTGAATGAGTTCACTAAAATTAGAAAAGCAAATTGCTTGAACAGATTGGGTATGAAGGTATGTGTGAAGGTATCTGTCTGTCACAGACTCAGGGACAGTTACTGTTCTGCTCAACGTACTTTTTGGAGCTTTTCATTTCACATCTTTTACATATTTTCATCTTTCAGTACAAGGTTCTGGGTTCAACCAGTATTTCAATTTGGTCTCGTTTTGCCAAGGACAATAAATGCTCAGTAATTTTATTACTGCTAGTAACTTATTAATTAAATGTTGGACACATTTTACTGAGGCCTGAAGTTAGAAACTAAGAAATGCACTGGACGGGTGTAAAGACTCGCTGAAAACTGATTCATATTTTGGTTTCGTTTTGAAATTCATGAACAAAGCTTGTCTTTTTCAAGACTGTAGGATGTAAACCGTGTTTTCTCCGATGTGTGTGCGTGTCCTCGCCTCAGGTTCAGGCCGACCCAGACCAAGTCAAAGAAGGACAGCAAGCTGGAGCTGTTTGGTTTCGAAGACGCGGACGCCCATCAGGAGGACACCAGCGCAACAGACAACGCAGACGGCGGATCCAGTTACAAAATCAAATACTTTGGATTTGATGACATGAGCGACAGCGACGGCACCGACGATGACGACGAATACGGCTCTTCAGAGAGGCGGAGGGCCAAGAAGGCTGCCGTCGCCATGGGAACCCCGATGGTTACAGTGGAGGAAATACCGGAAGATGAGCCGGAAGATGAGATAGAAGATGAGCCACCAGATCCCTTCGAGAGGCTGGAGATTGAAGAAAGACCGGCACCCAAGGAGAACAAGAAACACTTTGCGAGACAGGAGAGCCGAAAACGAACAGGTCAAAAACACAAACACACACTCTCTGTTCCCTTTCTGTGGTAAATGTTTCTGCATTGCTGGATAATGAACAGTCTTAGACAGAACTAGTATAACCAGGCTGCATTTCTGATTCTAGAGAAGACTAAAGGTCATGTGCTTTGTGTAATGCTGATATGTAAACACCGGGCGCCCACATCACCACTAACATACTGTACTGTTTTTACCCCCATAAAAGCGTACACTATGAACCCATACTCCCACACACAGAGCACGATGCCCTGACAGCACTAACAAACCGTATTTCCTTCTCCGTCTCATCAGAACAACAATCCCAGTGTAATAAAGATTTCTATTCTTCCCGACTGACTATGTTTTGTTCGCAGAAGTCCTGGACTTCTCCGAGGACGGACTCAGAGTGGTGGCCGGGGCTACCAGGAGGCAAACTCAGAGCAAAGCTACTGAGAAGAACCCTGACTCCTTCCGGAGGATCTTCAGCGCACACAAGAAGGTCAGATACAACACCCATGTTCACACAGCCAGGTTGGGTGGCTGATATTTCATGTTACACCCTCTGAAGCGCTGTTAAAAACGCTCCCAGACTCAGACTGCCACTTGTTAGAATCCCTGGATCTGCTATGAATATATGAGACAGGATATTAAAAGACACAAATAATGAGATTGTCATTATTCTGCTGAATACTGCCATACTTTATACATTATATGTATAATTTAAAGGGTATGGCTGATGTTGCATATAATCAGTGTGATATAAATCCCATGAAAAGAGCCAAACGAACAATCAATTAATCCTACTAACATTTATTGTCTGAAGCCTTGTCTTCTTCCTCTGTGCTATAGAGCTCCATTGTCACATTGTTCTTTCATTACAATGTACACTCGCTGTATTTTTACTCAGTCCTGACTCTAAACCGTCCTTCTGCCCCAAATACTCACTAGAACACTGAATGTGGATTAATCTGCGAGTCTGAGAAATATTCCATCAATGTACTGTTTCTTCATGTTTGGGGAATCAGAAAGTATTGACGGACAGCCTAAAACGTTGTTGGGCTGTGTCAAGGGTTTTGTTGACAATTAGGGAAATAAAGAATAACTTCAGACAGATCTTTTTAGAAATGTTTGCATGCAAAAGCAACATGAGATGTTATTGCTCATTATATTGCCAGGTTTAAACACACTTAACAAGTTGGTATTTACAGAGTTGAAACATACAAATCTCAAAGGTTCAATTGGATCAAACTTGAAACAGTCTAGAAAATACTTATTTTTAACAGTTTTGATTTTTAAGGTTAGGAATATGCTTATTAAGAAATGCTTTCCAACATAATATTAATATTTGTTGGGATAATTGGGAATGATCTTTTAGTATGGCGGTACATCTGTGTGAAGCACTCCGATGAAATGTCTTAATCCCTAACTGTAAAACCTCCCCTCGTTACATTTCAAAAAAAGATCAGTGTGTACCTGTGGGGACCGGACCGTCCGCCTACACCCAGTATGACTCAGCAGCGAGTGTGAGTGCGTGTGGGCAGAGCAGAGGAGTCGGCTCTGGTTTATTCATGGCTGGGTGAGAGGAGGGATTGAGTCGTCTTTTGAACATCTCTGGACTGCTTCTCTTTTATTTATCAGCGTGCTAATGGCCCGTCGCTCCCCGGCTCTCAGCCTGGGCTGACTGGATATCAGACTCTGTTGATTTCATAAGAGCCCGGAGCCTTTTTATAGTAGAGACAGATCAATGTCATCAATCCAGACCGGCAGAAACTTAAGTAACTCATATTTAGTGCATACGAATTGTCAGCGTTTCCTACTTGAAGCTATATTTAACTCTCACATTAATCGTGCTGCAACTAAAGCATTACATCAGGTAATACTGCTGTTAATCAGATCTCAGTGCAGTTTCAGTAGTTTGCTGTGTTTGTCTTAAACTCTGCGAGGCTTCTCTTCATCACAGCTGATGGTTAAATGTGTTTTTTTTTTTTTTTTTTAAAGTTTGCTGCATTTATCAACTTTTTGGGGAAAAGTGATGCATGATTGTAGCTGAGAGACTAATTCCTTAATTTAAATTAGTTTCACTGATGGGGATTAGCTGAAACATAGTAATGTAGACGCAAGTCAGTGCCTCTGGTGTGTATACTGCAGTTTGCATATTATTTATATTTTTCTTCTCCAGTATTATTGCATAGGAAAAAATCATTTTGCAATTAAATAATCTTCGGTTTGGAGGGTTTTCATAGAATCAAAAAACTGTAAAGTTTAGGACTGTGCTAGTAACCAGAACATATTAAACCCAACATTGTATCTGTCACTGACCTGATATTAGCTGCAGTTAGCAGCAGTATATTTGGTTGGAAGTTGAGACTTAGTTGTAAATATTGAGGAGATTCCATCTTGGTCGGGGAGCAGGTGAGGCAGACCTGAAAAACAATAGTCAAGTCAAATTTTATTTATATATCCCAAAGTCACAATTTGCCTCATGGGGCTTTACAATATGTACAGCATTCAATGCCCCTCTGCCCTTAGACCCTCAAATTGGGTAAGGTTAAAGAAAAATGAACAGTGTAAAAACTGGAAGAAACCTCAGGAAGAGCCACAGAGGAGGGATCTCTTTCCCAGGACTAATAGACATACATTAAAACAAACCAACAAAATCTATATACTATATATACACATTTTGATGAGAGAAATACAGATATGTGTGGATTGTGAAACATAGACTAAGTGGTTTGTATGGATCCAGGATGATGTTGAGCGACTTCAGGTGTCGCGAAAAAGGTAGAATCACATGACCTCCTCTCAACCAATTAGTTTTGGCTTCAAGAGGAAACAATATGAAGCATTTTATAATAACATTAACAAAAAATCTGTGTGGATATCATGGATAACAATCAGGACAGTTTGATGCTTGTTCTCACCATCAGTTAACTGTTTCATTGGTTAACAGGCAGCTACTTCGGTAGCTCTGAAAAAAAAAAAAAAAAAACGGCGTTTTTGAAAAAGCAATTATTCACCTAACCACTAAAACAGAAACATTTGAACAGTTTACACAACTTTTTTTTTTCTTAAGTAGCTCCCCTGTAAGCTAACTGCAGACCCTGGCAGAGCAGAGATAACTTTGTTGTGAAGTTCTCTCTCAGCACCTGCAGGGAACTTTTCAAGAGCTGAATGTAAAGTTAATTTCCTCTGCATCTGCCCATCGCAGACCAGCTATTATAGTATTAGCAGACACATCGCCCATAGGCGCACAATAACGTACTTAATGTACTCTCTCATTCTCTCGTTCTCCAGTTTCATGCCCTGACTCTCACCATAACTTTCCTCCCTCTCAGTTTAATAATGTGCTCTCCTCTCTGTCTCCCATCACTTCCTCTTGACCACTTCGTCTTTACTTTCTACCTCCCCGAGTAACGTTCTCTACCTCACCCCCTACCTTCTTGTTCTAATATACTTTCTTTTTCTCTCTCACTCCGTCTTCAGTTAACATAATTGTGAGTGAGGGCCGAGCTGAGCTCATTATAAAAACAATAGCCCTTGGAAGTGACCGGCCTACGGAGGAGTTATCAAAACTGTGCCTCAATTACAGTAAACTGTGTCGGTGGAGCCGGAGTGCTGTTAGGGTATTCCGCGGAGGACACTGGGAGATATTAGACATTGCCATAATGACAGCGCCTAGACACACTCATCCATATTTAGGAGGTGGCGTTGGGTTTATTTGGGGAAAGTTTTTTTTTATGGGACGAGCAGTTATTAATTCCATAACAACGACCCTCTCCAAAGCTCCAGTGTGGCTCTTTTCACTGATGTACCATTAATGTGTGTTTGTCGTCCCACAAGGAAAGAGAGGAAAATATTACTTTCTCTTTGTTATTCATCTGTCCATCATGTTTGTAGGTATAACCTTTTTAATTTTTCAATACTGGTGCCCCTAAGCCAAGAAATACGGCACCAAGATGTATATTAATCAAATTTTTTTTGACACAATCCTTTCTTTGGAATGAACAAAATATGTTGAATATTGTCTACAACTCACGCAGTCACACCTAAATAAAATACAAAAAGTGTCCAAAGAATAAATGTACAGATCTGACTCATCATTCACTACTAGATTTTGGCATTTGAAAGTTTTTGATACTTCATTTTGATTCGGGCTGTGTATTGGCAAGAATGTGGTTATTATAATGCGATATATTGTGATCCAGGTGATATGGCAACTGTCATAGTATCCTGTATAACTTTTAGGACACAATGTTTCCACTCCAGAGGTTTTCCTCTCTTTCACCCCTGGTTTGTAACACTTTCTCTCCAACAGCCGCAGGATACCTTTTATAGAAATGTTTCCTCGGGTTCATTAGTGCTCCTCCAGACTGACTTTGATGTGTTTAAACGATAGAGTTCTCAGAACAGTGTTTTTGGCCATATAAAGTATAGAAAAATTCAATTATATGATCATCATCATATAATTGCTTGGTCCAAAAGCAGTTAATAAATAATTGGATTGGGGAAAAGTCATTAAAATGCCCATTCCCAAGCTTGTGTCGTCCAATGAGGAGGCATTTTGCTGTTGACGCATACCCACAATGCCAAAACAATCCATCTTATGTTTTTTCTGGGGGGGGGGCACAGCAGGATGCTTGCCCACCTTCCTCCTTCACTCTCATATCTCCCATGCTGCTTAGCGGCAGGTGGGCGGGGCGGGTGGGAGTAGGTGTCCGTCTGTGTCATTCAGATTACTGCAGGAGGCTTTAATTCGGTGTGTTGATGTTCCAGCTCATTCCCAAACTCCTCTTTTGTCTCTGCTTATTAACCCTGTGGTGCAACCCCCCCCCCACACACACACACACACACCTCCCTCAGTACTCTGCTCTACAGCCAATTCTCTTTTCTTTCTCTCTGTCCTGCCCTTCCCTCTTTTGTTTTTCATTATGAATACCCCGGCAACCACCAACCACAGGTTTGGCAAAAACATATAGAGAGGACAGAAGACGAGCCAAGGATGAAAGGATGAGGGTGGATGGTGGCGTGGGGAGGTGTATGTGTTTGTTTTAAGTGTGTGTGTGTGTGTGTGTGTGTGTATATCCTGCTGTTTGATCAGTGCTGGCGACTCTCACCAGTTTAATGTGCATCCAGTTATCATGTTTTCTCTTTTCACCTCTTTTTCTTTCTCCTTTACTGTTCCTTTTTCTCTCTGCGTCTCTCTGCCACATCAACATGTTTCAGGGAGTTGGTTCAAAGCGATGTTGCACTAGAGCACCCGCATCTTGCACCGAAACAGTGGGCGCTCACCAGACTCCATTGCCAAAACCAGTAATTTTACTAAGGAGATAATTGTGAAAAACACTTCAAACTGGACTGAAATAAAATAAATCTATTCCTGTTAGTCTTTCCAACAATCACTAACCCTGGTTAGGCCTAAATCAATTTTTAATTCACTGAGTTAAATGACAACACCAGGATACAATGACTCCACTATATCTGTACATAGCAAATAGTTTGCTGCTATTTTAATCTTTTAAATCTCATATGTATAACCTTTTCAGTGTTTCCTCTAGGATTTTTTTTAGCAGTGGGGGCAGGCCCGTCCGAACACCCCCACCCCCCCCAGTCACGTCACGTTTTACGTATGAAATAGAAGTGACACTTCGCTGCGACACAAACAAATATATTTACCGTTTTAATGTTTCCAGATGTTTGATATCAGGACGTTGAGCTGAGAACTGACAAGTTGAACGCTGTCCAATTAAAACGGACCCACCGCGGTGACGTTTTTGGTGGAGCTGTTAGTTTAATAGTCGACTTGGAAGAAAGCGAACGTTTTGACAATAAGCTCCATCAACACAACAGTATGTGGAGTTAAACTGGACAGCCCCAATAACCTCTGAATAGTTCTACTTGTTGTTAAATTGCAATGTGAGCGGCAGCCAGCGGGGGTGCATTATGTCTGCAGGATCATTTAAAAGGCAACCGTGACTACATTGTGCGTCTGCCCCATTTCTGATACCGTGGCGGCAGAAATTTAACAGCGGCGGCCCACCGCTCCAAAATCAACGTAGAGGAAACACTGCTTTTAATAGAATTACTTCAAGTGCGCCACCTTTGATGTCTCATTAGCATAATGGGCACGACTGCAGTAAAGGCAAGTAAAAACAGAAAGCAATCTACAAGGTGATTTCCTCATATCACACCCACCACCCATCACGGTCTACCAGTGTCTGGTTTTTTTTTCATGGCCAGTTGAAACATGTTTGCTTTCTGTCGCTCTTACTCGAGACATTTGTGCTTCCACTGTCAGTGAACTTATATCTGGCTTCTGTTTGTGTGTGTTCATGTTTCAGTCTCCCACCAAAGCTGTGTACAATGCCAGACACTGGACGCTGGAGAATGAAGAGGAGCCCCCTCCTCCTTTCTTCTCACGATCACAGACCGCTCCTGTAAGTGTACACACACACACACACACACACACACACACCCCCCTTTAAATCATATATTTGTTTTTATCATAAAATGTGTTTTGTTTTTTTACTCATTTCACACCAACCCTCCTTCGTCTCTGTAGGCACCAGTCTCTGCAGGAGGATCCAGTAAGGAGCCCAGCGATGCTCACAAGGACGACGGTGTTTTTAAGGCTCCTCCCCCTCCTCCAAAGGTCACCAAGTGTGTCACCCTCCCCACAGATCTCTACCAGGACACCGTCACTGCACTCAAATGCCGCAAGGAGCACAAGGAGGTACATGGAAATGTTTGACTTATCCTAAAACTGAAAATGTCTCTTATCTTCTGCCATAAACACTTGAAGAGACATTTGTCCATCCTGTGATGTCTGAAGCACTTTACTGGTGGACAACAAGGTTTATTCAAATTGAGCCTTGAGTGCGGAGTTTGTAAAGTCTCTCGGACCTTAGTTACATGTCCCTTCTCCAACATCCCTTGTCGCTCTCTACTAACTTCAATCGTATTAATAGGAAAATGTTTTCTAAAAGGTATTTTTGGACATATTCCACTCATTCACCCCTGCCCCTGTGTTTTCCAGCTGTATACAGTCGTCCAGCATGTGAAGCACTTCAATGACGTGGTGGAGTTTGGAGAGAACCAGGAGTTTACTGATGACTTTGAGTATCTGGCCACCGGTCTGAAGAGTGGACAACCTCTCAACACACGCTGCCTTAGGTAAGATCCTGGATTTCGCTTACTTAAACTTCTTCTCTAAAGTAGTTAAATTAAATATCAAGATATTATTTTCATCATTTGCTGATGCCGTGTGTGTCTGTGTGTGTTGTGTCTTCAGTGTGATCAGCCTGGCTACGCGCTGTGCCATGCCCGGCTTCAGGATGCACCTCAGGGCCAGAGGGAAGGTGGCTCAGGTCTTCAAAACACTTAATGATGCCCCGCAACACCCGGTAAGGATCAGTCAGTACAGAGGATTTCAATGTACATTCACTCTCCCCCAGATGGGAACTACAGTAGGAGAACAAAACGAACAGCAATATTAGATACATTTGGTCAAATCAAACATGACTGTTGTCATTTAGTCCTGCTTTATTGATTATTTTGTCACGGTCAACCACACACGTCTTTGCTATCGGTTTGAGGCTACTTTGCTGGTCAGAGTTCACCAAAGTTGAAATCCACACAATAACTCTTAAATACATGACCAAGCCATTTATATTGGTGGTTTAACAAAGTAAATTGTGCTTAAAAAAAACAATTATCTCTAAGATATAGTCATAAGAAAGTTCTGAAATTCTATTAAAGTGAAGTCGTTGGACAATGTCAGAACTGAATGTGATATATTGTAATGAATTTATTCTCGTCTCTGCAGAACCTGGCCCTGTGCACGGCGTCTCTGATGTACATCCTCAGTAGAGACCGATTAAACATGGATCTGGACCGGTCATGTCTGGACCTAATGATCCGGCTGCTGGAGCTGGACCAGGACGAGGACCAGGACCAAGTCCAGGACCAGGTCCAGGACCAGGTCCAGGACCAGGGTGGCAAGGCCGTGACGGACTCCACCGGCGCTCAATTCAGCGCCAGGGAAATCGCTAAGATGAAGGAGAAGATCAGGAAGCTCTGTGACACCGTGCACAACAAGCACCTGGACCTACAGAACATAACGGTACTTTGATTAAACACGAAGTCTGCTGTATCGTTTCCATTCCATGTACTCGGTGTTTCCTGCAGAACTGTCAGCGTGGAAAAGCCTTGAAACAACATTTAGACGATTAAACCTCTCCACTGAAACCTCTGACTAATGATATTCTTTTAGCAGCTCTTCAGTCAGGATGACTCACAGCCACCTACGTGTGTCAAGATATTTCGAGCAGCTCCAGTGAAGCTGAAATCTTAGAAGGATCTAAAACGTTTACAGTAAAGATCAGGTTTTGATGTCGGTCTCTTACAATCAAGAGTCGCCATTTTACACCATACACTCTAAAATCCATCAGAGAATTTGTACAGCCACAGGAAACAGTCTGGACTGCCGCTGCAGTGCATTCTGGGTTGTTTTACAGTGTAAACCGATATATCAGACAGTTTAGGTTTTAAGCTGACTCATTTTGTCCCTTCTCTCTCCCTGTAGACGGGTCACTTAGCTATGGAGACGTTATTGTCTCTGACTTCAAAGCGAGCGGGAGACTGGTTCAAAGAGGAGCTGCGGCTACTGGGAGGACTGGACCACATAGTAGATAAAGGTTAAATAAATTATAAAGAATTTAAATTGACACAAAAATTATAGAAAGAAAATGATGGTCTGGTTTCTGATATTGTCTGTTTTTTATTTCTGTCTTCACAGTGAAGGAGTGTGTCAATAACTTAAACCAGGAGGACGATAAGGAGAAGCTGGTGTCGTCTCTGTGGGGAGCTGAGAGGTGTTTACGGGTGCTGGAGAGTGTAAGTGCCACATACTATTCTGTTATATATACTGTAATAGACTATTGTCAGGCTCAATTATTTATTTTCATGATTGGAACCAGCAGGATGTAGCAGTGCCTGAATTGAATAAAACAGGTGCCAGGACCCTGATTCAGCACACCCCTAGTTCTTATGGTGTTTCTTAAATTCATTTTAACAAGCATTTTCAGTCACCCATGTGTTTACAGTGTCTCTAACACTTACCATTGCACTCTACATGCCTAAACCTAACCAACCAAACCAATAAAAACCACAAACATTAGCCAATCAGAGGCAGAGTAGGGTGGGTCTCGACAGAATACCGATGGGGAAATATAACAATGAAAGGGACTGTAATAACTACACATACAGATCTTACCTGGTCTGAAAAAGTAAACTCTTTGTAAAACTCAGATTTTATGCACAGGCCGGTTTGTTTGTTATACTATAACAGTTAAAGTCCTAAAATTAGATTTTATAAACAAAACTGCTACATATCGTGCTGCTTTAAGTTTACAATATATAGAAGTCAGACATTTTTGGAGTGTGAAATGAGCCTTGTGAAAAACTTTCCTTTGGGACTGTTGAGGGGCAGTTGGTGTCTGTTTGGTCTGTTTAGGTCTGTACCCAATTTTCAGAGGGAGAGCGAGGTTCACCTCTGATTTAGGTTTAGGTTGATAAATCACAGGTTTGTTTCAGGTCAGGTTCAATCTTTGGGCCCTTAAGAATCAACATCCACAAACAACAACAAACTCCTGTAATGTTTAACTCAGACCTTCTGCAGCCACATAAAATCATTCTCCCAACATCTTCCTCCTCTTGTCACTTATTCCCCTAAATAAAATGTAAATGTGTATTTCTTCTCGATAATCTGAGCATTTAAAACGTACCTGATTAATTTTGTTCACCAGTAAAACTCCAAAAATGAAACGTCAGACAGCCGCAGATATTATAGGTGAAGAAAAACTGCCATCTGGAAAACAAGTAATTTTCTGTGTACATGCAGGTGACAGTCCACAACCCAGAGAACCAGAGCTACCTGATCGCCTACAAAGACTCATCACTCATCATCTCCTCTGCAAAGTGAGCAAACACACACAAACGCACACAAACACACACAGTCTCAACCTCTGACCCCAGAGGTGTCCTCAATGTCTCTCAACCTTTTCTCTGTCTGACTGTCTGTCTGTCTGGAAGAGGGGAATCTGAAACTGTTGGGCTCCAGTCTGACAGCATTCAGATTGATTTTATCTGAGTAACACAACATTGCCGGTTTGTCATTTTAATCAGATTTTTTTTTGCTTTTCTCATCTTCTCCTTCATCTTGTCATTCTTTTCACTGGAACAGTTTAGTGCCCCATGATGTCCAAACTGTCTTTTTTAAAAAGAGTCTTCAGGACATACTGAATATTTGTCTTATTATTATTAAAATGTAGAGATATAAAGCTGCTGAACACGTATCGATTTCTGCCTTGAGAAACACAGACTGACTGTTCAACTGTATAGTGTGTGTGTGTGTGTGTGTGTGTGTGTGTGTGTGTGTGTGTGTCTGTGCCTGACGGTTATTATGCGTATCATTATCAGGGTTTTGTTGTTCAATTTCCTGGTCGTGACATGCTGTCAGTCAAAGCACTGACCTTCGCCCTCTGACCTCGGGCCCCACTGCTGGCAGAGTATCAGCAGGGAGAGAGAGGGAGAGAGAGAGTGTAGTCCACTGTGGAAATGACCTGACCTTGCTTGTTCCCTCTTTTTTTGCGTCACTTTGCGTCTTTGCCCTCGAGTGTTTCAGGCACATATTGGTGTTCAAATACAGTCAGTTTGGTCCAAATAGGATTTTTTTTAACATTTATTTTTTAGAAAATAATCCTTAATTCTTGAACTGAACTGGTACCTAAACCCCCCCTCTTCACTTTGGTTTTGATCGCTTCGACAGGCTGCAACATTACTGGCAATACACTTGTTTCATTCCTTGTCTCATCAACCGTCAAAGCTTCTGACGTTCACGGGTCATTTTCACTGAAGGCCAAAAAGAGTATTCGCTCTCGAAGCTGTAGTAGCTCTAGATAATTATTAGCATAGTGATTAAAACACACACAAAAAAAGAGAACTTTTCCTAAAATACTACACACAAACACAAGTTTGGTCCTGTTACTGACTACAGCTCAGCCAATACACTGACACGACTTTCATATCACAGATATATAACCTGTGTGTACGTCAGCTGATCCCTAACCACAGGTTCCAGAGATGCTGAAGATGTGTTAGAGGTAACGGTGTTTCCATTACAATCTGTCCACCAAACAACTCATTATTCAACACAGAAACATCATTTAGTTAAGCAGCGTACGTCAGATATCAGTATGAGTCGAACGACGCAGTGCTGTCTTACTTTACCTTCCCAATCCTCCTCCGTCACCCTCTCTGTGACCGGACCTTCGCCCTCGACTGAAGATCTGCAGTGAGGGTGGGGTGAAGATGAGGATGAAGACTAAATGGGTCAACAAAGCGCTGCTGTTTCAGTGGGTGACACAGGCCTCAGTCTGAGCATTCAGCTGTCCTCTCTGGTAACTCGATTAACCCAGAGAGAGAGAGAGACCATCTCTCTCTCTCTCTCTCTCTCTCTCTCTCTCTCTCTCTCTCTCTCTCTCTCTCTCTCTCTCTCTCTCTGAGGCACTGCATTCATTCACTCCAGGTCTTCTTTCTCTATCATTTACTGTTCTTGTTTTCCTCCTTTTGTTCTTATATTTTCCTTTACGTCATCACTCCTCCTCTTTTCACTGGACTTTTCTCGTTGCCTTACACGCTGCCCTTATTGTTTCAACCCAAACTCACCCCTCTGCCTCTCTGAGTGTTTCAGCTGTCTGCAGGACTAATTCAATAATCCCCCAAACCACCCCATTAGCCAACACACACACACACACACACACACACACCTAAAGTCCTATTGCTTACCAACCGTCTGCGTCTTGAGCTGGAATCAAACCTTTTCTTGACAGACCCAATAATATTATTATATATTCTGCTTTATAGCAAGTTAGCTTTTATTTTCTTCTTATTTTAGCTCCTGAACTTCAACATGTAGAATAGAAATCTATAATATTGTTGCACACTTTGGTCCTATAAAAAGGAAACCATACCCTAAATTGCAAATATTTCTCTCTTGTGGTTTTCTTATGCACCCTTAACTTTCACTTTGTCACATCCTGTGTTACTGTCACCTTCTATAGGCCACATTTAATTTTAAACTGTCACTTCTCTTTTCTCCTTACTTTCTCTTTTTTTTCTTCATTTCTTTCCTTCCTCTCTCTCTGTCCTGGTGTTCAGACTCTGGCTTCTGCTCTCTGTTCAGTCAGCACCGTCATTAGATTTAATCTGGTTATTTACATCAGGCGGCTGACCTGCTTCACCCCTTCTGCTGCTGCAGCCGGCCTGTGTGTGTCTGTGTGTGTCTGTGTGTGTCGTGTGTGTGTCTGTGTGCGTGTGTGTGTGTGTCTGTGTGGACACATCTTTCCCTGAATGCTGCTCTGTTTTATGATGGAGTAGAAAAGGAAAGAGGAAAATCACGTTGAGATGCGTCCAGATGACATCTGGATTTGAATTAAGTTTGTTTGTGTTGGTGAAATTATTTTTACTTCTCTTCTTACAAGACAAAGATGGTGAAACCACAGAAAAGTTATGATCAGTAAAAAGGAAAATAAAACAACTGGCACACTGTCTTGCAGTGTACAGGATTTTATTCAAATGGCTTTCCTTCACCGTTTGTTTGTCTCTCTGTTTAAAAATCTAATCATTGTCTTGCAGTTGGTTTTTAATTGGGAGCTTCACATAAAGAAGGTTTTTGTTGTAAACAGAAATAAACTTCTTTGGATCCTCCATCTTGTTTGTGTCTTTAAATACAGAGTGCTGTTTTTAATGCTCTCCTCTCCTCCTCTCTCAGAGCGTTGAGTAGATGTGAGGAGATGATCCAGCGTTACAGCAGGGAGCTGAACTCAGACGGAGCCGTGGTGGGGAAAGCAGTGGAGGACTGTATGAGGGCCATTATAGGAGTCCTGCTTAACCTCACCCATGACAACGGTTAGAACACACACACACACACACACACACACACACACACACACACACACACACACACACACACACACACACACACACACACACAAACAGCTTAAAAAACACTGCTGATAGTTGGCACATAAACAGGTTTACTGGAATCTAAAAGGTAGATTCCTATGGGTGTAAGTAAGTCAACGACTTATTACAAACAATTGACCGCTGCTTCGTTACAGTATGTACTCACGTGTGTGTGTGTGTGTGTGTGGCAGAGTGGGGCAGTACGAAGACAGGAGAACAAGAGGATTTAATAATGACGGCTCTGAACTGTGTTCTCAAAGTCCCTCAATATCTTCCTCAAGAACAGAGGTTCGACATCAGAGTACTGGTGAGTAAAATTTCAAAAATGACTTTGATTTTTCATTAAATTGTGGAAATAACAATGACATATATGGCCATGAACTTCCTGCTGGAATACAAGACCATCGGTCACTTAAGGGTGCTCAGAATCTGTGAAAAGTTATAAAACTTAAGTTATATTGACAGATGCAAGGTGGCAGATGTTTTTATAACTCTGATCGCTGTGTGTGTGTGTGGTGTTCAGGGTCTGGGCCTGCTCATCAACCTGGTGGAGTACAGTGCCAGGAACAAGTACTGTCTGATGGAAATGGAGATGGAGGGAGGTCAGGGTCCCTGCAACTCCACTGTCTTGCTGAACCCTCAGCACCAGGACATCACCAGTGCTGGCCCACTGAGCGCCATCGCTGCTCTTGTACAGGTAGGGGTGTGTGTGTGTGTGTGTGTGTGTGTGTGTGTGTGTGTGTGTGTGTGTGTGTGTGTGTGTGTGTGTGTGTGTGTGTGTGTGTTCAGACTACATGAGGACGCAGCTTACCACAGGAATTGCGTTTGTTTGCTGAAAAGAGCCTCTTTCCACTCCAAACAGCAGAATCATGCAGCAGGTGCTGTATGACAAATCTTTCAGGCTGATCACGTCTACATGTTAGACTGTAAATTAATAGTCGTGTTATCCTTAGCGCTCGCGATTCGTCTCATCTCTGTTTTGTTCTGTGCTGCTGTGGCAGCTCAGTTTCCCATGAGCACCATTAAAGCTTCATTTAAATCGAATCATCCCCTGTAATCAGATTTTGCTGATGCTCAGGCTGGCTTCCAGTGGGGTCAACAGTAGAATCACCAGTAGCAGTCTGACGCCATACAGAAAGTAACAAGGGCTTAGAAATAAGAGAGGGGAGGTGGAAATGGTGGAAAAGTAAAATATTTTTATACTTGGCTCTCTCAGTGGTTGTATCTTAAAATATACTGAGGCAGACAGCGCACACATCCAACTTGGGTGTGAAGATCTGCACCACTTTCCACCAGGATTGTCTCCAAACAGAACCACGGATCATCATTCATTTGAGAGACACTGTAGTTGCAACAGAATTCTACACTTAGGGGCTTTAAGTTTTCTTGAGAATTGTCAAAGTACATGCTAACCTGCTACACTGTCCTCCTGTTCGTCCTCCTCAGCTGTTCCTCCAGCGGGAGCGGGCCGCCATCCTGGCTGAGGCGCAGACAGATGACCTCATCAAGGAAACACCGAAGCCTGCGGACCAGAGCGGGCAGTGGCAGGAGACCGGCGGGGAGATCCAGTGGGTCGCCAACGACAACAACAACGAGTCCGACAAGCAGGAGGACGCCAAGAAGAAGGAGAAGGACGAAGAGGACGAGGAGCTGGACCTCAACAAAGGTACGGCCGCGTCAGACAGACGTCGTGTGGAGGCGTGGGTAGATTCAAAAAACTGGAAATGTTTCTTTCTTTCTTTTCTAATCGGTGCCTTTCCTCCTCAGCTCTGCAGCATGCAGGGAAGCACATGGAGGACAGCATCGTGGCCTCCTATACAGCACTGCTGCTGGGCTGCCTGTGTCAGGGGAGCCCGGTGAGTGAGAGAGACACACACACACACACACACACACACACACACACACAGTCTTACAACAAGAAAGAGGTCAGATATAGAAGTGATGCTCAGTACTGATGTTAAACCAGTTGTGGTCTTTTTTTAATGCGTCAAATGCAAATTAACTTGAGTGAAGTGAAAAACCTCAAAGCTTTACATTTCCTGTTTCCCAGCTGCACATGAACACACCACATCAGCATCTTTTGCACATATAAAACCTGAGATACACCCAGTATCACAGTATGCACTCAGAATGATCAGGGTCAATCTGTAAATAACATTTTAAATTAATGTCCGTTTTCTGATTCTTTGTGTGTGTGTGTGCATATTGTTTGACTCTCTCTCTCTTTGTCTCAATGTCTCTCCCCCAGTTGAATGTGACTACTGTGAGGGACAACCTGCCAAAAGGAGATTTCTCCATCATGACAGAAATGCTGAAAAAGTTCCTCAACTTCATGAACCTCACTGTGAGTCACAGCCCTTTGTCTGGAAATCCACTGGTTATAAAACTAATAAACACTCAGTTCACATTTATTTTAGATTAAAGATGAGATTTTTCTATTTTTAATAGCAAGAAAAGTTCAAAAAGGGGGTTGTGATGTGTCAGTCTCGCATCCAAACAAAAACAAATCCTACATGTGTTTATGAACAAGCATGATATAGTTAATTACTGCTGAATAGTCTTTGTAATGCACTAATAATGATGATGACTATAAACAATAGTGTAAAGAGGAAATAATAGGTAAACAGTCGTAGCATTAAGAGACCAAAAGATGATCAATTATTAGATTATGTGAGAAACAATGTGTGGAAACTGACCTCTGCTCTCTCTGCAGTGTGACGTCGGCACCACAGGACAGAAGTCCATCTCCCGGATCATTGACTACCTGGAGCACTGCTAGAGAGAAGCCTGTCTCACACACACCCCACACACACAAACACACACACACCACAACTATCTCATTCATCTCTGTCATCATCATCACCATCATCCTCATCCTCCTCATCTCTGATTGAGTTCATGGCTGGAAACCGCTGTTTGTTTCTTCAAACACAAAACAACCATCAACATCATCATCATCTTCTTCTTTTTCCTCTCCGTGTTGTGACCAGACGTGCTCCTCATCCTCCAGTTACAGGAACTTTCCTCCATTTTCCCTAAACTGACTTCAGATGGATTTAACTCTGTTCTGACTTATTGAGGGATGTCGGCCCCGAACTCAGCTGTGATCAGATTTTATTTAGATACAATTCAAGTCAGTATTTATTTTTTTTCCCACCCTTCCTGTATTTATAAAAGCTGCTCAGATTGATGTTTTTTTTATTTTCTTTTTTGGCTTTTGATACATTTCCTTTGAAAGTTTCCTCACAGTTCAGCTCTCACCTGCTCACCCCCCCTCCCTCGTGAAAACACCCCGCCTTCGTATCGATCGGAGGCAGATTGGAGTGGAGCTGCCATTTTCTCCAGCCTGTCATCAAAGCCTTGCACCCCTCCGCTCTGCCTTTGGAGCCGATAATCGCCAAAACAACTCGAGTGGTTAGAAGAAAAAACAACTACTGACCAGAATAATTGCTTTACACGCTGTGTTCTTCTTCTTCTTCTCTCTTCTCTTTTTGCTGCTTTGATCTCTCGACTCTGTCGGAAGGAGGCAGTTTGAGGTAGATAAATCAAAAGTATTGATCTTTCCTCACCCAAGAGCACAGAAATGGCAAGAGTTCAGACCCTGAATTGCAGGCTTTTGTGACGTTAAGGTGGTATTTAAGGTGGGACCGCCTGCTCGAGGTTTGTTTTTAGGTGTTTTAATCCGTATAGAACCAGAAATCTTCTCTCTTCGCGCTTTTCTTTCCTCTTCAACCTCTGTAGCAAACTAGTGGATTTTAAATTGGTTGTCCTTCTCATGCCGTTATCGAAACGGGTGCTCCTCCCAGCATGCCAAGCACCCCCTGGTCAGTCAGCACCCACCAACACACAGTCAGCAGTCAGTCAGCACCCACCAACACAGCTGAGACTAAAACACAATTGACCCTTGAAGGTGTTCAAATTCTCTGGGAAACTTTAAACGACTCCCCGCCCCCGTCCAAAAGTAGAAACTTTTTCCTTTCACAGAATCGATCGTCCTCTCACTCGACAACAAAGCTTTGTGTCTCAGTGGGAACCGAGCCCCCCGGACCAGAACCTGTCCTCCTTCAGGTCCTTTCAATTACCGTTCGCGTGTGTGCTCGTCGCTCATAGAAGAGCCTTCAATTACAGCACAAAGGCAGCCGGGATGCCCCGGTCCAAGAGGTGAAGACGTGCTGCTTTTCTTTAGTTTGAACCGAACCACCGGCCAATACAGGCTTTCAGCCATCAGGTTGATACTTTTTTCTTCCTGTTGGGCTGTTTTTAGACTTCAGCTGTAGCTGTCAAATCCAAAAGTTCACAGTTTGTAGTTACACTTCATAAAAAAATCCTCCTTTGATCTTTTTGACATCGTTACAGTTCCCTTAGCCTGCGTTTGTGTTCCCAGAATGCATTTCAGCAACACTAGGGGAAAGTTTGTAAATTAAAAATAGGTGTCCTTTCTGGTGGATTTTCCCCCGTATGTTGATCGTTGATTGGTCCAAAATGGCGACTCAAAGATGAATTCTGTCTGGACTTCTGGTCTGCCTCATTGTGAAACATCTTTTGGTGTTTATCCTCCAGCATTACGCTTGTACACGCTTCTAAATGCTTGTTAACGTTAATAAGTTATTAACAACAATGTGGCTCTAACTAGATAAAAAGTGAATGTTGATTTTATTAAGTTAGTTTTTTTGAGTTTTTTAATATGGCTCCAATGCCAAAAACACTGGATCCTACGAGTCCCATCATGCAACTGGATAGCGCCTTTGACATTGTCAGATGTTTTCAGACCAGAGACACAGAAGAACTGTTACCAAGACGAATAAACTGAGTGCCCCTTTAATGGCTTACAACTCATTAATAAAGGATCCATTACCTATTAATACAGCCAATAGTTATAGCGTCAATCGGCCTTATTAGAACGCGGTACCGACTGTTCTTCGCTCCGTCTCGTTCGCAGTGTTGAAGACGAGCTGGTGAGGTGAAACTCAGAGGAAGGATGTAAAACAGGCTCTTAGGTTTATGATTGGATGTTTCACTTTCCAAACACAACGAACGTGTTGACAAAATGAAAAGTGACAATGTTGTAATTTATTTTTTTAATCACCTGATCACATTTTAAAGCTTTTGGTTATCGATCGTTTGTTCCTGGAACTTCTCCACAGTGTTCGGCCATCAGGGCAGAACCATAAATCTTCCCCCAGACAGTCTGAGAAAGCCTGGAGGTCTTTAGTTGGTGTTTTCTGATAGTCCAGGGTGGGACAGAGATTGTTTGATTTGATGTTCCGATTTGGAAATGAAGATATAATTGTATATTTTTTTGTTCTTTCTGAATACAGACGAGTGCTGTCACATTTCTCCTGTTTGTAAAGGTTTGAAGCACGTTGTCATCGAGCATGTTCATCCCGTTAATTTTCATTTGCCTGTTCCTCTGTGATCATTAACACACACACACACACACACACACGCTGACACACACAGTTTAACCCTCACACTCCTTTTTTCTTTAAAGTTTACAAGAGCTTTATTCACAGACGTCTGGAAGAATGAATGGAAGAGCTTTTTGTACATAGTTCTTGTACATAGATTGATTTCCTCACGTAGGAGGAGAGGCTGATGGGTAATGGGGAGGGTGGGATTGTGGGTGGGGTTTGGGTGGAGCGGGTGGGTGGGGGATTAAATTTAAATTTAGACCTGGTAGACTCTACTTTTCTGAATCTGACTCTATTTTTCATTTTCTAAAGCCTTTTCTCCCGTCGTGTTGTTGTTTTGGACAGACAGACAGAGAGCTTCTTAACAAGCCAACTGCAGGAAAACTTGACCTTTGTACCAATTTGCAGACTGATGTCTTTGGTTACCTGTACATAATTTTAAAATAATAAAAATTGCTACTTTCAGTACTTCCTGCTCCGTCTTTTGTTTTTGAAACGTGAATTTTGCTTTAAAACAGTTTTTTCTGTTTCATCTGCAAACTTTTTGGGAAAGTGTCTCAGCTGCAACCTGATTGGTCAGATTGTTGCATATTAATATAATAATATAAAAATACATTTCCCCTCAGTGAACACGTTGTGGAGATAATGAAAGATCACATTACACATGTTTGAGCTGAATGTTTTTCTGACAGCAGGAAACAGATTTTACAGTCTTGTAGGAAAATATAAAAAATAGAAAGTCTCATTTTAAAATCTTCATCGAGCTTTTGAACGTCACTTGGTCCCGCTCGTTCTCTCCCACATGTCCTCCCCATAACTCCTGTGCTCCTCCTCTGTGCGCGCCGGGCCCCCGCTGCTCTTCCCGCTCTCAAAGTCCCTGACTGGCCCCGATGGCTCCCCTGACACATATGTGGTCCCCTGTGAGGCCGGGGGCCGCGGTGTGCGGCTCGGTACCGAGGCGCCCTCCTCCAGCAGTTCGCTGAGGGTGGCGATGTAGATCTGCGCCATCTGGAGGGTCTCGGATTTGGAGAGCTTCTTGTCGCTCTCCAGGTTGGGGATGACGCTCCGGAGCCGGTCGAACGCGACGTTGAGCCCCAGCATCCTCCTCCTCTCTCGGGCGTTGGCAGCGAGGCGTCGCCGTCTCTGCGCACGCTCCAGGGCGCACTTATCCGGCTGCAGGTAGTGTAGCGCGCCGCCGGCGGGGCCGAGCCGAAGCTCGACGATGGCGCACGGGGGGTCTCGGTGGTCGCAGCCGCGCCGGGTGCGCTCTGTCCCCGGCCGCTCCTGTGCGCGGCTCCGCTGCAGCAGAGCGTGGATGTCGGCGTGGAGGGCCACCGGGGCCGCGGGGCCGACGCCTCCCTCCGGGTCCACTGAGATGAAAGGCGCAAAGAGGCTTTTACTCGGCGGCATCGCTCCTCTTCTTTCTCCCAACAACCTTCCACAAAGGCCAGAAACACAAAGTTCAACTTTCTTCACTTTGGGTGAATTTATGGGGATGGGGGCCGCGGGGACGCGCAGTGCGTGCTCCGGGGGCGTGGAGAGGGTCGTGTGCTGCCTAATGAACAGAGCCAAAGCCCACTGCAGGAGGTCTATTAACCAAGTTCATCAAAAGAGGATTAGAAGCGTCTGAGTGCGCTGCTGTGGGCCGATACAGGGAGGCGGCCAAGCAGAAGAGCAGCGCGGCCGAGGAGGGGAGAGAGGAGGGGAGAGAGGAAGGGAGAAAGATAGGATGAGAGAGGTGTGATGGTAAATGATCACTTCCACACAGTTTTACAACAGAAATCAATTACAGTCCTCTCTGTCCTTCATAATAAAAGCTCCAGTTGCACTTTATGAAGCTTTAAGTTGTTTCAGTAGGAAAAATAATAAGTTCAACAAGCAGCAGATACTCAATAATATTTCTACCCTGCATGTGCTAAAAGATCAAATACAAACTTTCTGTTTCAATAAAATAACTATGTTAAACTGGAACATTTGAAAAATCCCGTTATGATTTCCATTAATAATACATTTTAAAACTCCACAAACAGAAAAGTTATTTGAGACTTGTGTGTGGAACACAAACTGGTTTTATTCTAACTCTAAGGTATTTTTATGGTAATGTCCTGAAATGATTTGAATTTGGGGATTCTGGTTCTGCATTTTAATTTGAATTGGCTTTATAGTGCTTCAGATTGGGCTTCTTATGGTATTACTGTTGTATAATGAATTTTAATTTAAAATTAAGTTTGAATCAGTTTCTTTTTCTGTTTCTATATTTGTTTGTTTTTTTGTTAACTTTAGTTAGTTAACATTAGTTTCCTTTCCTACAGGGCCGAATTGGAGCAAATTGTGCTTCTGTCCATACTTCTTTTAATTTTTAGGATTTTTTTGGCAGCTTGGAGGGAGTTAAAATTTTACAATTATCATAACAATAAATAAAGAAAAGCTTCATCATTTTGTTCCGGCAGTGTGGGGACGGCTGAGACTTTTGTGTTGGGGGAAAAGTTAATAAAAAAGAAAATATAATTAAATTGAGGAAAGAATTTTCTTTTTTGTTTTGTTTTTGGTCAAAGATTTTGTGCGGATGCTCAGGGGTGTTTATGGGGGGGACTTAAGACTTTAGTGTGTCTGAAATCCTGGTTACCGCCCTGCTGTTGTTATACTTTCATTGGTCTCTTTATTCACAATCTGGCTGTGTTGGATCACAGATTTTGTTTCCAATCGAAAGCCACATCAATGAAGCTACATTTACACAAGGCAGCGTTTCCTCTGGGTCCTCTACAGGTTGTACTGTTGTTGTGATATTTGTCTCGTATATTAAAGCTCATCAGCTCGTCAGTGGGATTCTTGTTTTTAAGGTTAATTAAAAGCGTTGCGGCTCCCTGAGGGAAAAGCCTGATGATGACTGACAGTAACTGGCATCCTCGCATCCTCTGGACAGACTCTAATGGGATTTAGCAGCGTGTCCGGACCGCCGTGTGCCAGCACTCTGCCGGGCCGGGCCTTTACAAACGCCACAGCGTGGCACCGAGCTGGCACAAAGATGGCTGCGTGACACACAGGAGCATAATAGACTCCTTATGGCCAGGAGGACCCTCGCTGTCTGAGGCTGCGGGTTCGTTTCTTTTTACTCTCCAATCTGGAGCACGTGGGGAGGTTTGGCTTCACGACTCAGATGACAGTTGTTGGCACACTCCGCTTTATTAAACCCAATGAAACGGCTCATTGCAGCCAGTGGACGGACACGGGCCGCAGATCAAACCCCACGCCGCCATGACAGGCCCTTACAGATGACACCTAGCTGTTTAGTCTTCTGACCGTATCGGACCTTCTGTTCTCACAAACTCCAAAAGTTGCTTTACCACTTTGTTGTTTCAGAGCACATGAGTTTAGTATCTCTTAGACTGTTTTACACAGAGCCATCAAACTGTACTGCTGGCCACCTTTCAGAGTCATTGTGCTTTAGATCTTTGTTCTTTGGAGGCAGCTTATTATCTCCACCGATTTCTGCACAATCTAGAAACAAACATACATCGACTCCGAGCTGAATACGACAGTAACATGAGTTTAAACACACCGTATTAGGTTAGGATTTGGCTCAGTTTAGGTGGTTGAGTTGGTGTTGAAATGTTTTGAGTCTCACTGTCCTACACACTTGGAAGTGAACGGTGAGTTGAGAGGTATTCAGTTGGCTGCAATCTGCAACCTCACCACTAGATGACACTGAATCCTACACACTGGTCCTTTAAAGGAGGCATTTTCAGTGTTTTGTTAGTGTCAATAAATCCCATATAACACAATGTGTCAGTCTGTCTCTCAGTAATGTCTGACTTCCTGTCTGTGGCTCTTAGTCCCATTGCTTCCTGCTGCAGATGTGAATCTTTATAAACACAAATATATAGTTTTATGTTTAAAAAAGGGTCAGTAATGTCTTGAAATAGTGGCTCACTGTAGTTTTTATCACATGTTATTCAAACAAGAGGAAGTTGTGCGTTTGTTTGGAACTATTTTAAGCAGAGGATTAATCCACATTTGGAGCTCTGGTGAGTATTTGGTGTGTGTATATTCATAATGAAGGAACATGTCGCCCAGTACAACGCTGTGACTCAATGATGTAACAGTGGAGCTCTGTGGCACAGAGGAAGACATATATCAGGCTAAAAACAACCATATGGAATATCACTAGTTATCCTTTCAGGTTACGTTTGGGTCCAACAGAAATGAGAGGGAGGGTTTCTATTGATCTATGATTGGTTGAGAAACAACAAAATGGAGATTTCTGTTTGGGAAATAAAAACAAAATGGAGCAGTTAGCAGTTAGGAGAGGTTTGGCTTCAGTTGTTAACACGCTCCGCTTTATTAAACCCAATGAAACGGCTCGTTGAAGCCAGCGGTCGGACACAGGCCGTAGATCAAACCCTTTTTAGAGTTCCACCACTTTCATCCACTGAGTCAGTGAGGCAACACAGAGATCGATTCTCAACCTTCACCCACGGCCGTACCGCTGCTTCTACATGCTTCAGCCAATGCAATACAAATCACACACACAGACGCTTTGTACATTTGATTTCAAGTTCAGCCACTGGGTTCAACTTGTTTCAGCTTGTTAAATGGAAATTCAGTCGCAGTCAGTCCACATCGGATATTTATTTCTGTCAGTTATGGCCAGAAATCCAAAGAAAACAAAGATTTGAAAGGATTCATTCATGAGCTTTGCTGTTGATCATAAACAGATAAATTACAATCATAAATGGACACCGAAGAGAATCTGATTGTTTCTTGAATTAAATAGGTTGCTGTTTAACTGCTTATTGACTGTTGTACATGTCCATAATAATACCTTTGTATCTGTAATCATGTTCTATTATGTAATGCTCTCACTAACATGTTGGGTTTGTTTTGTCTTTATGTTCTAGTTTGTTTTTGTCTAATTTGGTTTCATTGCATACTGTTATCTTTGTCAATTTTATTTGTGTGTAATTCTGTAAATGGTACTTTTTGTCGTTGAGGACCCCTTTAAAAACTAGATGGTACACCCAATGGGTTATTCCTAATAAGCCTTTTCAACAAATGCACCAACAGGACAGAACTGTCCAACAATCCCTGCTCACAACTCTAATACCACCCGAAGATGACCAAAAAAAACAGGAAGTTGTTTTCCTGAAATGAAGAAATGAAGTGAGAACAATGGCCGTCAAGAAGGAATGGTATAATATGGACACTGAGTGAATCAGCTGGATCATCTTCAACATCATTAGTTGAGTTTGAAAGTGAAAACATAAAACATTAAAATCAAAGATTTGAGGCTCGATGTCTGACTGCAGTGTGCAATTTTCAATGTTGCTTATTTCAGCGTCTTGCATCATCGACCACCGAGCTGATAAATGCTTAAAATGGTGTAAGTCTGCCGTCTACCTGAAAACCCACCAGCCAATAGTTAAAGTTTTATTACAAACAATTTTTTTTTTTTTTAAGTTATCAGTGCATACGAGAATAACAACAATATAAATAATTCATATGACTGACTTTTCTTTCTCCTTATATTAAGGAACAAGACTGTTGACAGGCTGATACTGATGAAATAAAGTTAAAGTGAAATAAAGTTTTTGGTTGACTGTTGATCTTCACATTTTGATTTTTGACCGTCTGCGGCTCAGAGGAGAAGCAACACTTGAGCGAGTTAAGTTATGGTTCTCTATTGACATTGAAATGTCTCTTTTTCAAACTTGACACAGACATGAAGTCTGGTATTAAAGAGGCTGCAGACATAAACAAACCTCATATAACTGCCGTGTTTCTCTCCTACATGATGTGTTTGTCTGTTGAGATGGTCGCTGTGTCGGATTGTTTGAGTCAACCTGCGTGATGTTCAGAGTGATCTGTGATTTCTGCTTTGTGCTTGTCGATGCTTGTGGAAAAAGAGAAAGAGAAAAGGTGAGAAATAAGGAAGAACCACTCAATGAACAAAACCACTCATTCGCCAGTCTGAACAGCCAATCAGAGAGCCCCCCCCCCCCACACACACACACACACACACACCCGGACAACCTACAGGCAGGTGACAGTCGCCCAACACACCGCCCAACGATGGCGGACTGTCGGCTCGGTGTGTCAGGACTCCAAAGTGACAAAAACTCTTTGATGCTGTGATGCAGAAGGAACAACACACACACACACACACACACACACACAAGACACACACACACAGATCAATGGCCATATATTCAAACGGCCACACACAAGAACGAACAGACAAACACACACACACAAAGCCCCCGACACACTCATTTGTCTCATTTCACACCAGTGATCCTTCCTTCCTCCCTCATTGTGTCACCCTTTACACACAAACACACACACACTCATTTGTTTCACTATACATCACAGGACCCTCCTGCTCTCTCTCCCAGCAGGTCCAATTACTAATC